GTGCCCTGACTGGGCATCGAACCAGCAGCCTTTTGGTTCACAGGCCGTCGCTCAATCCATTGAGCCACACCAGTCAGGGCTTGGCTGTGTAAATGTCTTGAACCAATGAATGGTCATCGGGAGCTCAGAGCTGGGGAAACGGAGGCTGCCCCTTGCCTGAGGCGTCAGCAGGCACTGAAACTCTTGCGTTGTGTCTGCAGAACCACCCTGTCGCCTCTGTCATTCGGCTCGTGGTTCATTCCTTTGTCCATGGATTGTTCATCCATCAACTAAGCACCTCACGGGCCTTCGCACGCCTCCCCTCTCCCCGCCTTTACAGCAGGTACCAGGACCTCGGCTCTTTTCAGAAAGGAAGGAATTAGAATAAAATGGGTCCTTTCCCCGCCCCCGCCCCCGCCCTGCTGGCCCTGTCCCCCAACCTCGGGGCCAGGCACCTGCGGTTTGCGGAGGCCTTCCCTCCTTAGATCCCACCCAGAGAGCAAACAGCTCGGCCCCCACCTCGCCCTCCACCCTCCGCCCCCGCCCGGCCGGTCCTCGGCCCCGCCCCCTGCGGCCGCCCCCGCCCGTCTCCACCGCTGGCGGATTCGGGGGACTCCGAGGGGAAACCTGCCCTCACCCGTTGGCCTGGCGAGGGCCTCCTCTGGGCCCCACGCTGCCTGAGCCGCCCCCATCAGGTCACGTTTAAGGCCGCCCCCCATCCCCGCCCTCGCAGCTTTTGAGACTGAGGTTTCGGGCAAATCCGTTGGGAGTGGGTCCCTGGCCACCCCCTCCTTTGCTGGCGTCCCCGTCGTCACCGACGTCGCGACGGTTCTGCGAGCTACGTCTCCGGCCGGCCCCCGCTCCAGCCAGCCACGCCTCCTCCTTACCTTCCCCGCCCAGCGTCCCCAAGGGATTCCCTCGCCCGAAACCCGCTCATTCTCGAAATTCAGGTCAAAGCTCGCATGCCACCTCCTCAGACAGGCCATCCCTGACCACTCACCCGAGGGGACCAGCCCCGCCTGTCCCTCGGTCAGTCCTCCTCTGCAGCTCTGTTTCATTTCCTCCATAGCTCAAAGTCTTTTCCAGGTATGCGTCCCGGCCTGTTTACCTTCCGACTCAGCGCCACGCCCGCTAGAAGGACACTAACGCCAGGGCCCGGGCTTCCTGGGCCAGGCGCTTAGCATGCGCTCAGCGCGCCCTGTAGGTGCTAAAGAAGTTGCTGCTTCCTTATTTCAGGGCTTCCTGTGTGGCCCCTCCTTCCCCCCTTCACGCTTAGCGTATCACTCCTTGCCACACCTTCCTTGGCGAACTCCTATGCATCCTTCAGAGCCCTATCCTGTTACTGTTTGAGCAGGGAAGGCCTCTTTGACTGCCTTGCACCCCCACAACGCAGCAGGAATAAAGGCCTCCTCTGGGGAGCCACAGTGCCCCGTGCCACCCCAACAGTGCACATGACACTGTGAATTGGGACTGTGGGTACCAGCAGGGTCTCTTTCCCCAATTGGACTCCATTTTACTTACACCGCTCCTGCCTACCTGCCGAACCTCCCATTTCCTGGGAATTTGACCTCTTTCTTCATCCTAAGAACTTATCAGCAAATCCTACAGACCCTGGCCGGGCAGCTCAGTTCGTTAGAGCGTCATCCCGATACACCAAAGTTTCGGGTTCGATCCCCTGTCAGGGCACATACAAGAAGCAACCAACGACCCTGGCTGGTGGGGCTTCCTGGATTGGGCGCCGGTCTGCAAACCGAAAGGTCGCCAGTTCGGTTCCCAGTCAGGGCACAGGCCTAGGTTTCGGGCCAGGTCCCCGGCTGGGGGCACGTGAGAGGCAACCGATTGAGATATTTCTCCCACACGTTGACGTTTCTCTCCCTCTCTTCCTCCTTCCCTCCCCCTCTCTCTAGAAATGAATAAATAAAATCTTAAAAAAAGAAAAAAAAGGCAACCAATGAAGGAATAAATGAGTGGAACAACAAATCGATCTCTCTCTCTCTCTCTAAACATCAATAAATAAATGTTTAGGCCCTGGTCAGTAGCTCAGTTAGTTGGAGCATCACCCCGCACATCAAAACATTGCGGTACCATCCCGTGTTGAGGCGCATGCGGGAGGCAACAAATTGACCTTTCTGGTCGATGTTTTCTCTCTCTCTCTCTCTCTCTCTCTCTCACCCTCCCGTTCTCCTGTCTCTAAAATCAATTTAAAAAAATTCTTGGATGAGGATTTTTTTTTCAGTTGAAAATTGTTTAACCCTGCACTTGGGTGGGGGGAGGGGTATGCATTGGGAAAGGAGGGTGAGGGAAGACAAGGGGGTGCTCGCAGCTATGACACACAAGGGCTCTTAGTTTATGAAGCCCCAGTGGACAATTCTGTTTCCTTCCTGGGCTCCCCAACCCACAGGATAAATACTAGTCCCGTCCCCCAACGACAAGGCTGGGGACAGAGGTAAACGCAGGCCCGTGGCCCCGGGCTCACTCAATGAAAGAACCTTATGGGCGGGCAAGGGGTGGGTTCTCCGCGGCCGGGGATCCCCCCTGGGGAGCCTCCCAGATGGGGATTTGCTGGCTCCACCCGAGGCTTGCTGAGTCAGGTTGTACAGGGTGGGAGCCCCCACTGGAATTTGGGAGCCACTCGCTGTGGTTTGGAGAGAGGGAGGGGCCTCCTTTCCGGCCACAGAACAAGGAAGGTGTCCCTGGAAGCAGGGCGGAGACTCGGGGTTTCGGTCTCACCGGCTGCTCCAGGCTCTGGGAGGGGGTGGTGCCTGGGAATGCCTGCTCTGAAACGGCCTTCTCCCTCGGACCCCGGAGTCCAGGCCCCCGGCCCCTGCGATGGGACGCTTTCTCCGCCCGCATGCGGAGACAGGGGACTGGGCTCAGCTAAGCGTGCGTTAGCGTCCCCGCCCCGGAGCGCCCTGACCGCCGACGAGTGGCCTCCCCACTCTGAACCTCCATCTGCTCCTCTCTCACTGGGGTGCCAAACCCGCCCAGTCCGCCTCACAGAGGGTTAGGGGTCAGCTCCTTCCCTCGGACCCCGAATCAGGCAAGGCCGCGCTCAGCATGACATGGATGTGCCAGGGACACAGAGTAACAGAAGCTGGAGACAAGACGCACTGTCCCCCTCGCGGCTGCACCGCGCGCTGGTGTGCCCAGCCGCGCGCAGCACCCTGGCTCCTGGGCCCGCCCCCCCGAGGCTGAGCTCCCTGGCCCGGAACACTCCTCCTCCGTACTGTAGGCCACTTTGGGCTGCCAAACTGGCCCTTCAGGTTCAGCCCTGGCCGCCCCTCCTCCTCCTCCAGGAAGCCTGCCCTGCCCATCTCGGCCGGGCTTCCACCGTCCTCCATTCGAGCACAAGCGGAAAGAAAGGCCGTCATCTCTGTCATCGGAACACTCATCTATTGTGTCCTCTTTGCCAGTTACTGTGCTGAGAGCTCTTCATAAGCTCATTTAATCCTCCCAATGCTGTGATCCCCATTTTAGGGGGACCAGGGCACAGAGAGGTTAAGTAATTTGTCCAGGGTCACACCGCTAGAAAGGGGCCAGGTCAGGGTAGGGTAGCACCAAAGGATGATGGGCCTGCATTGCGCGGCCCGGGTTTAACCAGCCTGTCTCCATCATGTATTAACTGTGTGGTTGTAGACAAATTACTTCCCTTGTATGTGCCTCAGTTTCCTCACATGCAAATGGGGTTCATAGAACCCATTTCATAGATTGTCGTGGGGATTATCTATACCCACGTATCATGCACTCAGAAGAGGACTAAGCACACAAAAAGTGTGACCAAAATTATGAAAAGGCTAAGTCAAGACTCGAACCCGCACCCCTGGGCTTTTGTGATTGTCTCTCTTGTCTCTGTTCTTTCATCTCCTTCTCCTGACTCCAGCCTCACTCAGCACAGACTGTGGCGCCCACGTGTGTTAAATGAAACAATGAAGCAATAAGGCAAAGCCAGGGGGCTATGGTGTTAGAAGGCGATAAACGTCCTGAAGAAAAAATTAAATACGGAGTGAGGGAAGAGACAATGAACAACAGGAGGGTAAAAGCTGTCACGATTTGAAATAGGGTGTTCAGGAGGCCTGTCTGAGAAGGTGCCATTCGAGTATGACCAGAGGAGGGGAGGCGAGCTCAGGGAGCTGCGCTCCAGGAAGAGAAGAGCAGGTGCAAAGGCCCTGAGGCAGGGCAGGGTCTGGGTGGCCGCGGAGCGGCAAGGAGGCTGGGGTGCTGCGCCAGAGTGACGGAGAGAAAGAGGAGAAAGAAGAGGTTAAAATACCGTCCCTGAACACCCTGCAGGCTCAGCTTTTATTCGGAGAAAGGGGAGCCACTGAAAGATTTTGAGCAGGGATGTGACACAGGCTGACTTCGGTCTCTATGACTTAGGCATCAGGACCAGGCAGACGGAGAGAAGGAAGCAAGCAGGGAGACCGGTTAGGAGGCAGGTCCCGGTGAGACATGATGGTGGTAGGAACCAGGTGGGGCTCACTGATGAGAAAGCCCAAGACTGGGCACGTCCACCCTCCTGCTCTTGGGGGCCTGAGCTTTGACGTCTGCATCTGCTGTCTGGCCGACTCACTGTCCGGGCAACCTTGGGCGCCGAACAAGTTGAGTCTTAGCCACCCTCACCATGGATTTACTGAGGGAAATTTCCAAAGGACCAGGGAAGGGGAGGGGCGGGGGTGAAGGGAATGGGTGCCGAGGGGACCCGTGCACAGGTGTGCACGTGGAGGGAAGGACACTAGCCCTGGGGACAGGAACACAGCCACCTACAGCACGTTGATGGCCCCGCCCGGGCACCGTGAACAAGTGGACGTCAAACCTCTGACTGCCCAGAGGTATTAGGAGAATTGAAGGGGGCGTCCGAGACGGGCGGGCGTAAGTGCTGTTGTTGTTATTGTGCTGTTGTTGTTATGCAGACACAGTCAAGGTTCCTGCCAGCCCCGCCCAGGGGCCACTCCAGCCGGGCGGTGCCAGGTGAGTGCTCAGGTATGTGGAGGCGGGACGGCCAGCCGGGGAAGGAGCAGGAAGGAGGGGCCCTGCGTCTGGAAGGGAGAGCAGAGCGGGCCTCTCCTCCGACGGAGCCTGACAGGGCAGGTGAGGAGGGGGCCCGGGAGGGGCGGGAAGGTGGGCGCGCCCGGGCCGGGGCCGGGGAGGGGGGAGAGCGGGCGTCTGGGCTCAGCAAAGGCTGGGAACCCCGACGCTGGAGCCTTGAAGAGGCAAGGGGTGCAAAGTGGGCCACCCATAGCCAAAGGAAGAATGTAGGATCACAGGGGCTGAGGAGGTGAATGAGTGGTCCTCCGAGGGGACCTGAGGCCAAAGGGACCCCCGGTTCTTAGGGGTGAGCACCTCGGAGCCTGGGCTGGGCCCCTGAGAAGATGAGGCTGGGAGACAGGGCCCTGGGGACAGAAAGAAAGTGGGGTACATGTAGATTAGGGAATTGAAAGCATGGGTTTCTAAAGGATTTGGGAAATGGTATTAGGTATGAAAGAGGAGGGGCCGGGGGCCTGGCCTCCTGGGTCCGAAGGAGGAGGGGCTGGGCCAGGAATCAGGTCCCACAAGGCAGGTGAGGCCCTCACCTCTTTGCTGCCTCCCAGGGCACCTCCGGCGGCAAGAGCTGCCCACTCTGGCACCATGAGCACCACCACCAGGTAAGCGTCCCCTGCCCACCAGGCCCCCAACCCCAGCACAGCGGCCCAGCCTCTCACCCACACCCGCAGGGCATTTGAAGCAGCCAAAGGCTGGACGCTGGGAAGGAAGCCTGGGCCACCTCCCTCCCAGCCCAACCAGTGGCCGGAGCTCTGCGCCAGAGCAGAGAGACCTGGGTGCAAATTCGGGCACCGACACTCAGCAGCGGTGGGACCCCGGCCAAGGGCCATCGCCTCACTGAGCCTCCGTCCCTCCAGATTTTTTTAAGGTCTTATTTATTTATTTTTAATAAGAGAGGGGAAGGGAGGAAGAGAGGAAGAGAAACATCGATCAGTTGCCTCCCACATGCCCCCAGCCACGGACCCAGCCCACAAGCCAGGAGTGTGCCCTGACTGGGCATCAAACCGGCGACCCTCCAGTTCACAGGCCGGTGCCCAACCCACTGGCCACACCAGCCCGGGGCTCAGTCTCTCCGGTTTTAAAAGCTTGATGGGATAATGGACACACAGGACTTAGGTTAGCAGAGAACCTAACTAACAGCAGGGGCTCAGCTCACAGAAACGGCTACTGCTATTGTTGTTACCTTTTGTTAAATATTGACCTTTTGCTGAGAAGTCAGGAGTGTTTATAATGAAGGCTCAGGTCTCCTGGAGCGAGCAGAGAGGAAGGTCAGACACATGGGAATAGCTGCGTGGGCGATGTAAGGTAGTGAGTTCTCCAGCCCAGAGGTAATCAAACTGTGGGGAGAGCTGACTGACAACAGCAAGATAAGGAGTACAGGTTTGACTGAAGGGTTTCTCCTCCCTCATCCCTGACCCCACCTGGGTTCTGAGTCTCAGTTATTTCTATGGAAATGGGGGCTCAAGAACTCTTCCTGGAGCCTTGGCCAGAGTGGCTCAGTTGGTTGGAGCATTGTCCTATAAACCGAAAGGTCATGGGTTTGAATCCTGGTCAGAGCACATGCCTGGGTTACTGGTTCAGTCCCCAGTTGGAGTGCATGCGAGAGGCAACCAATCAATGTTTCTCACGTAGGCGTTTCTCTCCCTCTCTCTCTCCCTCCCTTCCCCCTCTCTCTAAAATCAATTAAAAAAGAATTCTCTCCCTGGCTGGTGTGGCTCAGTGGATTGAGCGCTGGTGTGTGAACCAAAGGGTCTCCAGTTTGATTCCCAGTCAGGGCACAGGCCTGGGTTGCGGGCCAGGTCCCGAGTTGGGGGCACATGAGAGGCAACCGCACATTGATGTTTCTCTCCCTGTCTTTCTCCCTCCCTTCCCCTCTGTCTAAAAATAAATACATAATATCTTTAAGAAAAAAAAATTCTTCTTGGAGAAGGTGACCTTGAAGAGGAGGTCAAAGGCAGGACACAGAGAAGGATTGGGCGGGGTAGAGCCCGGCCCACGGGGATTGAAGGGGAAGAAGATAACTCTCCCATCTCCTCCCAATACGAATGCTATTGTAAAAATTCCTGTTTATTAAGCAACTACTCTGTGCTAAGCCCTCCGCCTTATAATAATGATAATAATGATAATAACAGTTATTAAGGCTGCAGAACCCTTCAGCTGCAATCATCTCATTGAATTCACCCAAGAGCCCCACCAGATGGAAGCGATAGGGTAACTAAATGCTATCTTATAGAGAGGGAAACTGAGGCAGGAGAGATGAAGTCTCCTTCCCCGGGCCTTACGGCAAGGCAGAAGCTAACGGGGGATTTGAACCCACGTCTGCGTGTCCGTAGGGAACAACACTCCCCACCACTGCCTGGCCCCATCCCCTCACCTGTCCTACTAAAGTCCAGCTCTGCCCTTGCCGCCTCTGCTCAGAACCCTCCAGGGCTCCCCAGTGCCTTCAAATGAAGTCACTACTCTTCTTGGCATTCGATACCCCGCGACCTGTCCGCAGTTCCCACCGTCCCTTCTCACCCCTCTTTTCCTTCACCAGCCCAGAAGCTGCCTCCAAACCAAGTGCCAAGTCCATTTATGGTGAGTTTATGGGCAAAGAAACTCCAGGCCAAGAGAAACGGCCTGAAGGAGGAAGGAGCTGAGGACCTGGGGGCCTGGACCCCTGGGTATGAGGGAGGAGGGGCCTGAGGACCCGGGCTTCCGATCCACCCTCCCCCTTCCCCCACAGAACAGCGGAAGCGGTACTCCACTATGGTGATGGCGGACGTGTCCCAATATCTAGTGAATGTGAGTCTGGGGTCTGCACTGCCCCAGGGGGTCTTCTGGGACCAAGGGAGATGGGGGTGTTGAAAGCTGTTGGGCTTCCAAGCAGAAGGAACTTGGGAAACTCAGTTTGCTCACCTACCGAGGGGACTTCCTCCTCCTTGCCTCCAACGTGGGTATCAGTGGCGGAACCCAGTTCCACTCGAATCTGCCCACTTGTCCTCTTGAGCTGGATAGTGTGGCCACAGACACACGTCAGACGCAGTCCTGGGTGAGCAGGGTTCGGACAAGGTCCAGAGGGACTGCGAAGGGTGCCAGGTGCTCTGAATGCAGGTAGAGGTGCATTGAAGGGACTAGATACAATCCAGACCATTCGTTGCCTTCAAGGAGCTTCCAGTCTCCGTGGGAAGACAGACCCAGGTGCTAGTCACTCTGATAGAGAGACGAAGGGCACTGAGTGCAAGCGCCCATAGGTGGAGCAAGTGATCAGGGAAGGCTTCCTGGAGGAGGTGTGGTTAGTCACAAACCGTCAGGCAGATTCCAGGGGATCCTGAGTACCCCCCTGTCAGCATTATCCTGGAACTCACTGCCTTCTCCGTGGTCTGTGCCAGCACCTGGTAACGTTCTGCCTGGGTGAGGAGGATGGGGTGCACACCGTGGAGGACGCCTCGCGCAAGCTGGCCGTCATGGACAGCCAGGGCCGCGTCTGGGCCCAGGAGATGCTGCTGCGCATATCTCCCGACCACGTCACGCTGCTCGACCCCGTCTCCAAGGTACGGGGGTGCGCGGGGAAGGACGGGGCACAGGGGTGGAAGGCACGGCTGGGCTGAGCAGCCCTGGAGAGCTCGGCCCTGGGGACGTCGGGGATCTCAGTGGGAATCTTTGCGTCCTTCCTCCGGAAACTTTGGCCAGGGACCCTGCCTCCTTTTTGAGCCCTACTACACGGATGTTATCGCGAGGTTGCCCTGAGCAGTGCCTGCACCTGGTGGCACTGCTGTCCCCATGTAGTGGTGTCTGTGCTTCCGAGCCTCCGTTTACCCGCCGTCCCTCCCCGCAGGAGCAGCTGGAGTCGTACCCACTGGGCGCCATCGTGCGCTGCGACGTAGTGATGCCGCCGGGCCGGAACCGCTCGCTGCTGCTGCTGGTGTGCCAGGAGCCCGAGCGCTTGCAGCCCGACGTGCACTTCTTCCAGGGCCTCCGTCTCGGGGTGAGCGGGCAGGGTCGGGGGTCAACGGGGAGGAAGGGGCTGGGACGCCGCGCAGCCCGGGAGGAGCTGGAAAAGGGCGGGGCCGGGGGCCAGGGCGGGGGCAGAGCCAGAGGAGGGACGTGGCTTAGAGACGCGGTCTAGAAGGAAGGGGGCTTTGAGGGCGGCTTGGACTCGGGGTGGAGGGCTCGGACAGAACAAGGGACAGGGGGCCTGGTGGGCAGCCAGAACTGGGACGGCGGTGAATGTGGTCTCGGCGCCCTGAACGGGGCCTCCGTGGGTGGGGGCGTGGCCTAGGTCCGGGACAGATTTAGGACGAAGGCCTGAGTCTAGGGCGTGAACCTGTGTGGCCCACGTGCGTGCACAGTGACTGGACGTGGCCTGGAACCGAGCCCGTCCGCGCGCGGCCTGGGGCGGGCAGTGTGGGGGCGGGGCGGGGCGGGGCGGGGCCTGACGGCGTGATTGGCAGGCGGAGCTGATCCACGAGGACATCCAGGGGGCTCTGCACAGCTACCGCTCTGGCCGAGGGGATCGCAGGGCAGCGGCGCTCAGGTAAGGGGGCTGGGTTGGAGCCCGGGGAGGACAGGGCGCGTTTGGGGTCTCTCTTTCTCTGCCTCCCCGTCCGAGAAATCGCTGTTACCGCTAGTCTAGAGCAGAACGCATTTGGAATGGAGTCAAACAGAACCTCTTCACGTCTTGCGTGCACCTCCCAAATAAAGTGTGCCCCGTCTCCAGGACCCTACGTTTCCTGGGCCTGGTTTTCTCCTCCTTTGGCCTGTTTTCCTCCAGAGAGGAGCTTTCCCCCGCCCGCCCCCCGCCCCATAGCGTGGATTTCTCCCTACCGCTCTGAGCTTAGGAGCGACCCCTTCGGGCAATTGTGTCTGTTTTAAGTCTCGTCCATGGACTCCTCGGGGGACCCCGCCTCAGGTTCCCTTCTTCCTCCGCAGGGCCACGCAGGAGGAGCTGCTGCGCCGCCCGTCACCCACCCCTGAGACCCCACCCCTGCAGCGCCGCCCGTCGGTCCGCGCCTCCCTCAGCCCGGCCGAGGCGCCCACAGGCCACGGGGGACCCCAGACGGAGCCCATCCCCGAGGCAGACGCGGCGCCGAGGCCAGGCCGGGCGGAGATCCTCAGGAGCGCTGACCCGGCCTCCCCGGACTTGGGTCCCCGCAACCCGGAGCTGGTCACTCTGCAGGCAGAAAGGGACGTGGTGAGTGGGGCGGAGCCAGACGCGCAGGGGCGGGGCTAGGCCGGGGGCGGGACCGGCTGTGGGGCGACAGCCCTCTCTCGGGGGCGGGGGCAAGGGTTGGGGGCGCGGTCAGAAGTCCTGGGGCGTGGCCGGAGGGGCCCAGCAACCGAAGGTGTGGCCTGGGCTGGGCCAAGACGCTGCCTAAGTCTCTTGGCTGAAGGGGCTTTGCCTGGAGTGATGCGGGTCATGGACTCGGGGTTCTCACGCGCCCTCCCCCCGCTCTGTCCCCCAGGACATCCTGAACCACGTGTTCGACGACGTGGAGAGCTTCGTATCAAAGCTTCAGAAGTCTGCGGAGGCGGCCCGGGTGCTGGAGCACCGGGAGCGCGGCCGCAGAGCCCGGCGCCGGGAGGCCGGGGGTGAGGGGCGCCGCCGGGCGGGATCCCGAACACCCTGGCCACTCCCAAATAGCCCCCCTCTCTCTCGGGTCTCCCCCTCGCATCCCCCGCCCGTTTGACTCCCCATCGCGATCTCTCTGGGGCCCTCCCTCTCTCTGACGCTGTCTCTGTGTCCCCTGTCCCCTTGCCTGCGCCCCTGCCCACAGACGGCCTCCTGACACTGCGGGCTAAGCCGCCCAGCGAGGCCGAGTACACCGACGTGCTTCAGAAAATCAAGTACGCCTTCAGCCTGCTGGTGAGGACGCGTCCAGCGCGGGGCACCGGGGCGGGCGGTGGGGCGACGACAAGCCCGACCTGCCTGCGCACTAATGCCAGCCCCTCCCCGGCTTCGCAGGCGCGGCTGCGCGGCAACATCGCCAACCCCTCCTCCCCAGAGCTGCTGCACTTCCTCTTCGGACCTCTGCACGTGGTGAGACCATCCCCCTCGGTCCTCTGGGCCCCCCTGCCGCAGGAGGAGTCGGGGTTCCACTTCCAGAGGGGGTGACGGCGTGCCCGTTCCTGCCTCCCTGGCAGATTGTGGAGATGTCGGGCGGACCCCAGCTCGCGAGCGGCGTGCGGCGGCCGCACCTGACGTCCGAGGCCGTGGCGCTGCTGCGGGACAACGTCACCCCAAGTGAAAACGTGCTCTGGACCTCGCTGGGGGACTCGTGGACCCGCCCGGGGTAAGGGGCGTGGTCACAGAGGGGCGGGGCTGGGAGGCAAGGGCGTGCTGATTGGAGGGAAGACGGGGCTGGAAGGTAGTGACTGGGGAGGAAGGAGGGGAGCGCGGCGTAGAGGGGAGCGTGTGGCCAGTGAAGAAGGGGTCGGCCCTAGGACAAAGTGCCAACATCCGATTGGGGGAAAGGCCAGAAATCTGTGTGAAAGACAGGTTTAAGATTGCATCCGATAACCGAGGAGGAGCCGAAGGCGGGACTACGGGGCGGAGCTATACCAAAGGGGCGGGGTGTGGAAAGGGGGCGGAGCCTGGGCGTCCCGACGCCGAGGACCTCGGGGGCTGGGGGCAGATCCAGGGGAGGGATGTGTGTGTGTGTGGTTAGAAACCCGGTTTGGATTCGGAGGCTGGCGGCGAGCGTTAGTTGAAATCAGTGTATTTAGAAATAATTGATGTCATGGGGGAAGTTTAATGGCAGGGGCAGAGCTTGGCAAAAAGAGGGGAGGATAGAAGAGCGGGGTTAGAGTGAGGTTTAGGGAAAGGGGAGAAGTGAAGTTAACGAGAGGGCTGACTCGTGCCGACCAGCGTCCCTGAGCCCTCGGCCCGTCCTTGGCTGCAGGCTGGAGTTGCCCCCGGAGGAGGGACCCCCATACATCCCCGAGTTCTACAGCGGCTGGGAGCCCCCGGCCACTGACCCCCAGGGCCGCCCCTGGGAGGACCCAGTAGAGAAGCAGCTACAGCACGAGAGGCGGCGCAACCAGGTGAGGCTAAGGCTTGGCGGGGGCAGCAGGCCCAGCACTGGGGAGTCTGGGAGGAGGCCACCCTCCCCCTGACCTGCTGCTTTCTTATCTCCTGCAGCAAAGCGCCCCCCAGATCGCTGTCAATGGGTGAGTGCCAGCCCCGGGGTGGGGGGCCGGTGGGGTCCAGGAGGGGTTCGTCGTGGGGGCTCCCGACGCTGACTCTGCCCCCTTTTTTTCTGTCTTTTTCCTTCTATCTTCCCGGCTCTTCGCAGGTGGGTGAGGTGGTGATCAGGCCCGGGGCAGGGCTGGGAGAGGGGGGGAGGAGTGGGGAGGGAGGAGGCAGCCCAGACTTCTGGGTCTGAGGGAGGAGGGGGCTGGAGGCCCAGATTCAAGGGTCTGAGGGAGGAGGGGGCTGGGTGTGGGTAAAGTCTTGAGACCCCAAAGGGCTGGAACAAGGTACTTTGGTTTCCTAGAATCTGGGAAGCTCCCTGCCTGGTTCTCTACCAGGACAGAGCCCTGGGTGTGGGAGGGAAGAGGCTGGGAATTAAACATCTGGGTTTTGAAGAAGAGCTCAAGTCTGGTATATGGGGCCTTAGAGACCCAGAGAAGCAGGCTTGGGACGTCAAGGGCTGAGGGGCAGGTTTCCGGGAAAGTTAAGAAGTGGAAGTGTCTCTGGGGCCCTGCGAGATGTAAAGGCCAGGAGGCTGGACCCTCACTTTCCTGAGGCTTTGCAGCAATTGTCTCAGTCCCGGCTGGGTGTCAGCCTAGGAGACTGTAGGTGTTAAAAAGGCAAAGGAATTACAGCCTAAGGCCTGAGATCCTGGATCTCTGGGGGAGGAAAGAGCTGGGGGTCCAAGTTCGTGATTCCAACAAGCAAGGGGGGTGCAGGCTCTTGGGTCCCGGGGAAAGAAGGGGATAGAGGGGCCAGGACTCTAGGGTTCCTAGGCAAGTTGAGGGCAGATGGGAGGGAAGCCACGTGGGATGAGAAGAAACCAAGCAGCAAGGCTGGAGGAGCAGAAGGGGGGTCTGGGTGAGGGCCCGGGCAGAGGATCTCAGCAGGGACAGCGTGCTGGGAGCTGCCGGCCCCACACAGGGGGCGCCGCGGCCCTGAAGACCCCCCCTCTCCCTTGCACAGGTAGGCCTGATCCAGACTGAGGTCCCTCCTTACTGGGGGGTCAGAGCCCAAATCCCACTTCCCTTCCCCCAGCTGCCTGGTCTCGCAGTGCTTCAGACACCCTCAGCTTTTAACTCATCTCTGAGCCTCAAAGGGTTTTTTTTTTTTGGAGGAATAAATAGGCATAATGATCCCCTCCTGAAAGAGTGAGAAGTCCAAGAGGCTGTCCAGGTTTTCAGTTAAGGGCTCAAGGCCCTGGCAGAGCTCAAGTTCACGTCCAGCTGCATGCCCAGAAGCGCACAAGTGCTCAGGGCATGGACTCTGGGGCCAGCCTGCCTAGGTCCCAGGCTGACTGTGCCCCTTCCTGTCCTGAGATCTTTACACTGGTGGGTCACTTTACATCCCTGTGCCTCCACTATCTCGTCTGTTAAAGGAAAACAATAATAGGGTCTCTGGGAGGGGAAGAGATGGGGGATCCAGGTTCATGGTTCTGCCAGGGACCAGGGGTCGTCTCGAGGATTATGTCAGCTAATGCATGTAACAGACTTTGAACAACAGTGCCTGGCATGTAGTAGGTGCTATATAAGTGTTAACTATTGTTCTTATTATGATTGTGCATTATCATTATGCATGAACCCAATACATAGGAGATGCTTAGTAAATAGCGTCTGTCTCCAGTTGTGTGATCTGGGACATTTTATCTTTCTTAGCCTGAATGTTATCTATAAAATGGAGGTGATGCTAGTACCCATATCATGCACTTACAGCTCATTGCCCGGCACATACGAAGTAAAATATATTCAAGCTGTTATTCCAATGTTAAGTTTCCATTAACAGTACTAACCTGGCCGCCTGCCTTGGCCCGTGCTTGGCTCTAACTGCAGCTCACACCGACACCCTACAGCCCAGAGCAGTGGGACTAGCTGCCTCCTATCCTCAACCCCCTCTCCCCCCTTCTCCTCAGTCACCAAGATCCGGAACCAGAAGCTGAGCCCCAGCCGGAGCCAGAGCCGGAGGCAGCGGGGAAGTGGGTCCTATGTAATTATGACTTCCAGGCCCGCAACAGCAGCGAGCTATCCGTCAAGCATCGGGACGTGTTGGAGGTTAGAGGGATGGGAGGCTGAGGGGCTGGAGTGGACCCAACCCTAACTGCAGGCACAGGCTCCAAACTCTTTCCTCTTACCTCCCTCAGGTCCTGGATGACAAACGCAAATGGTGGAAGGTTCGGGACCAGCGGGGGCAGGAAGGATATGTACCTTATAATATCCTGACACCCCACCCAGGGCCCCAGAGGGACCGCAGCCAGAGCCCTGCCCGCATTCTGGTGAGCCACGGCAGGCTCCCGAGCCTTGAGGGAAGATCCTGGATTCGGGGAACAGAGGGTGTGTCAAGACAAGGGTACTGGCAGGGGAGGTACTTGGGGGTTCAGAAATTTACCTCCATAAGGAGGGACTGGGACTCGGAGTCCTCTCTCTGATTCAGCTGCTCTCCCCTGGGTCCTCTCTAGCAGAATAGCACGCCCCCTCCTCCACCGGCCCCGGCCCCAGCTGTGGCTCCTGCGCCTGCTCGGCCCCACTGGGACAGCTGCGACAACCTCAACAACTTGGACCCCAGCGAGAAGGGTGAGTGGTGAGGACACCCCCTCAGAAAAGCAGTCCCTGTTCTCGCCTTCCAGGCAGGGAAACTGAGGCTCAGAAAAAGTAGATGGACTCCGGCCCATCACGAGGACCAATCTCCCTGAGTCCATCCTTCCTCCCTGTTTCCTACCTGCAGAGAAATTCTGCCAGATGGTCAGTGTCAACGAGGAGCTGCAGGCGCGTCTAGCCCAGGGCCGCTCGGCCCCCAGCCGCACAGCCCCGGGGCCCCGCGCCCCGGAGCCGCAGCTCAGCACACGCTCTAACGCCTCGGAGGTCCGCGCCTGGCTGCAGGCCAAGGGCTTTAGCTCCGGGTGAGTGGAACCGGCAGGCTCAGATTTGGGCGCTGAAGGCAGAGTGTTCTGATTGGCCCAGAGGGAGGTGTGGCGGATCACGGAGAACCAGGATTAGCCCAAAGCGAGGGTCTGTCTGGTTGCAACAATGAATGAGATTGTGATTGGCATGTGTTCCAAGGCTCCAATTGGAGTCTCCAGAGAAGCTCCGCCTTGCTCAAACGCACGGTGCTCCGCCTACCCACGGTACGCTGTGATTGGTGGATGAGGATTCAGGAGCTTTTAGCTGAGCCCCTGCTTAGCTAGAATGCTGCTGATTGGACAAACGGATGGCCGGGCGTGAAGAGATTGGTAGGGCTTGGGGAGCTCGAGCTCTGATTGGCTAGCAGGCCTGACCATGCCCCCTCCGCGCCTGTTCAGGACCGTGGAGGCGCTGGGCGTGCTGACAGGCGCGCAGATCTTCTCGCTACAGAAGGTGGAGTTCCAGGCGGTGAGCCCGGAGGAGGGCTCCCGTGTGTACAGCCAGGTCATGGTGCAGCGCGCGCTGCTGAAGGTGAGCCGGCCACCCGTCCCCCAGCCGGACCAGGGAGGGTGCCCAGGGCTCAGACGCCAGAGTCCTGACTCCTACCCCACCCTCCAGGACAAAGAGGAAGTGTCAGAGCTGGAAGCAGTGATGGAGAAGCAAAAGAAGAAAGTGGAAAGCGAGATACAAACAGAGGTCCTTTGACCTTTCCTGGCCCTCCGCTGTGTCCAGACAGCGGGTTTCCCTGCGCCCCGTGGGAAAACGGACTCTGCAGACCCTCCACCAAGGGAAGTGGACCCCCCTCGAAGGATCGCGGACCTGGTCCTTCCCCGTCCAGGTGGATGAAACGGACCATTCTTGCTGGAGTCTGAGCCAGCGCTCTCAGACTGGCGGGGAGCGGGAGGGGAGCAGGGCTGAGAGACAGTTAGGGACTGCGCTCGCAGGGCATCACAGCTCGGGAGCCTGCGCATTGTGATGTGCTGCCCAGTCTATAAACAGCCTCCTCTTCAGGCCGTGTCAACTGTTGTCGCTTCTCCACCTGGCTATCTATCGGGGGCTCAGGAACCTGCACCTCACCCCAGCAGCTACCGGTTCATCTAGGAGATGTCTCCACCTTCTTTGGTTTCTCTGAATCCCCCTCTCCTTACCTGGAGCCCCAACCCAGGCTTTCTCCTGACCTCCAGCCCTCCAGTTCACTCCAGAGGGATCTTCTGAACACTCAGCACGCCAGCCCATCCCTTGCTCAAAATCCTCCTCTCGCTCCCCACCGCCCTCTGAGCCCCATAGCCTGGTATTCGAAGCCCCAAGTGATTGTCCCTACCCACCTCCTCAACCTCATCTCTTCCTCATTCTTACATGCATTCTGGTCCTGCCCTTCTCCAAACATTCCCCAAACCTCTTCAACCACTGGGGTTTTGCATTTGCTGGCTTCTGCTGCTGAACAGCCATTCTCTCTCCGCCTGGCAATCTGGCCTTCCAGAGCCAGATCAGGGACCCAGTTTAGGAGAGCCCGCCCTCGTCACCCCGGTTAGTCTCCCAGCATCTACTTTTCCAGTTCTCCCACGCCCTGCCAGAGAAGTGGCAGCCTCCTGAAGGTGCCACAGGCTTCCTGGCCGCTCTTCATCCTGTGAGATGACAGCTCAAAAGAAAGCTCTCTATTCCTTGAGTACAACCAGCTCTTCCTGCTGGCCAGCCACGTTCAGACTGGCCATTCCTCCAGCTTTGAGGGGAAGGCGCGTGGCTCCTTCTGCTCCCGCGAGAAATGCTCCTGGTGACTCCGCGTGGACCTCAGCTTCTACCCGCGCCACCAGATGGCCCGTGGCTGGCCAGGCTCACACCAGCTTCTTGGGCACAGCGCTCTGCTTCCCTCTTCCTGCCGCCAGGCCCTGTTTGTGCCAGCCCTTCCTCCTGGAAACACCCTGGGCCCTCATGGGTGCCCACCCCTTCAACCTCTGGTCTGGTGCCCCAACCCTTATTTCTAACAGAGGAACCAGGGGTGCAAGCGGATCCAACCACACTTTCCCCTCCTTGATAAACCCCACACTGCCATCGCCGAGGCTGCTAGCGGGAATGGTTCCAGGGACACTGGAGGGGACTGCCTCCAGGGTGTCCGGGCAGGTTGGACTGTGACAGGAACCAGGCTTGAGCCACACAACTGACCCGCATGAGCTAACTGGGCTGGTCTCCCCATTTCTGCCCCTCACTGCCACCCCCACAACTGTTCTCAATGCAGCACCCAGGGCGTCCTGTTCAGACGCAGGTCCCTCCTCACAGCTCAAGTCCTTACCAGGGCCACATCCCTACATGGCCTGCCGTTCATTACCTCTCCAGCCCCATCGCCCACTACTTCCCTCCAGCCACACCAGCTCCCTCCTGTGCCTCAACATGTGAGGCACACTTCCACCCCAGGGCCTTTGCACATGCTCTTCTAAACACCCAGAAGGCCCTTTCCTCAAATACCGACATAACGCATTCTCTGATGCCTTCACATATCTGCCTGTGCCAGCTTCTCAGGGAGGCCTATTCTGACCACCCGGGACAAAATACACGCACGCATGTACTTCCACGTACGCACGCAGCAGCCTCCCTATCCCTTTTTCTCCACAGCACCACCAGCTGAAATGCATTCATTTTATTGTTGGATGCCTTATGCCTCTCCTCCTAAGATATTCCAGACCTTTGCCTTTCTCATTCACTACTGTATCAGCAACAGGAAGAACAGGGCCTCGCATGTAGAATATGACCAAGGATGAATGAAAACATGAACGGACGGACGCCCCACCTTAGAAGATGGCGGCCCCTTCCCACTCCCAACCAGCTGTTACCATGTGGGACTGAAGAACTCACACTGTCACGGATTCCTATTTTTTTCAGAAGTCAAATGCCAGATTTTCCTATGTGAATTGCCCAGACTTTAAACGTTGGCAATCGACTCTGTTTCAAACGCAGGGACAAGATCCGAGGTCCCCCAGGCGACAGAGCCACCTTGCTTGCGACCCCGTCAGCCCTGGCAGGGGCCCCTGCTCCAGCGGGATCTTCCCGAAGCCCCTTTCCCCCACTGAGTGCGCGCACCCACCGCCATCAGCACGCCACCCGCACGTTCCTGCGGCGTGGATGCTGACACCCACAGCCGAGCACAGGAGCAGGGCCCCACTTCCAGCCAGGGACAGTCACGGAGTGGCAACTTCACGACTTTTATTGGTGGTGCCTGTGCTTTGTCTCGAAAATACCTTCTCCCCCTGCCCCAGACAGTGTCGGGGAGGGGGCAGCAAAAAATAGAAGACGTCCCTCCCTATTGCACACGGACCCTATATACAGGCCCACCCGGCCGAGGCCGGCAGGACACTTGGCACATTCTCGGATCCCTGTTCAGGAGCGGGAGGGGTGACTGGGTGGCATCACACGTGAGAGGGGACCTCCGGGCGGCCACTCTGGTCCTGGCTACTGGTCCTGGTGCTTCCTGGTCCTCGGTTCCTTCATGGTCCCGCCTCCAGCCCTGGCTCCCCTTTGGCGACGACCCCCTACCTGGCTCGGCCTCCCGCCTCCATCCCGGCCTCGGACGGCCCCCCTTGGCTCCTGGGGACTCTGTCTTCCCCTCCCAGTCTGGAGGTCCCAAGGGGAGCTTATGGCTTCTCAGAGACTCCCCCAGGAGCCCTGTCACTCGTGTTCACGCGGGGGAAGGGGTGCGTGTGGCAGAAGCAGCTGTATAAATGCGGGTGCGGGGGCAAGTCCTCCGGAGTCACTTGGAGAGTTTGCTGATGACGCGGATCAGGGCTGCATTCTCATCCTTGAGTCGCTGATTGTCCGCCCGGAGGTCGGACAGGGCCTGTGGGACGAGACGGGGTCAGCTGGTGGTCCCGGGCCGGCCGAGCCCACGGCCCACAGCACCCCATGATTATTCACCTTCAGCTCCTCTTCCAGCTCAGCGGCCTTTCTCTCCAGTGCCCTGCGCTCCTGCAATACATGGGCAAGCGTAAGGGCCAGGGACTGCGGGTGGGGGAGGGCCAGAGGCTGAGCAGGGCTGAGAAGGGTGGGGAAAGGTCACAGGGCTGGGTTAGAGGGTCAGTGTGGCGCCTCCATTCACACCTGCAGAGGGTTGTAAGGCTGGGGACACGGCCGGGCCCACCCCAGCTGCCCCACTCACGAATCTCTCCAGCTCCAGAAGGGCCGGCCTCTCAGCGAAGCGCTCCTGCCTCTGGTGGGAACAGGGAAAGCTCGGGGGTCAGAGAAACGTCCAAACAGCAATGGCCGGGAAGGAAAGACCAGCAGGAAAAAGGGGAGAGCAGTCCCGGATTCCGCCCGGACCCCACCGCATAGCCCCGCCCCCAGGGCCCTAGTACCTCCCCCTAGAAGCGAGAGATCAGCTCTCCGCCCAGTCCTCCTTGCTCAGGCCCCACCCCTCTGAAGGCGGAGCACAGCCTAGACCCCACCCCTCATTGCTCCAGCACCGCCACTCATAGGTCTTGAGGTCTCCCACGCCCCGCTCCGTGGCAAGCAGACGGATGCCAAGGGCCCCTGCAGGGCCTCAGCGCCCTCACCTGCGTGGTGCGCTCCAGCTCCACCTTGAGCTGCGCCAGCCGCAGTGTGGTCTCCGTCAGGGCCTCGCGAAGTCTCTCGTTTTCACTGCGCAGCTCTGCGTAGAGCTGGGGGCACCAGGAGGAGGGACCCGAGGTCAGGCCCAGGCCCCCCCCCCCCGCCCCCCCGGCATGCTCGCGCACTGGGCCCCGATACGCACAGGTGAGGTCAAGGGAGGTCAAGTAAGGCAGTGCGGCTGCGCCGCGGGGTCTGCGCAGGCTGAGGGGCAATAGGGCGGGGGTGTAAAGGCAGACTTGCGGGGCCCGTTAACAGCACCGACCGCAGGGTGGGGTGGCCAACCTTCCTGAAGCCTCCGTCGGGCTCTTCAGCTTCGGGCTGGGGTTCTGGCTTGAGGTCCCGCCGCCTGCGGGACGAAGGGCCGGCCTGGGCCGTCCTGGGGCCGAGGCAGAGCAGGGCATCAGGGGGTGTGCCCTGCAGTCAAGGGACAGACCCCAGAACCCAGACCCTGCCCTGCCCGCCCTGTACCTGGACTCTGGGCTGATGTCCACAGGTTCCGCCTCCTCGCCCTGTGGGCGGGGTGGGGGTCAGCCGATGCGCGAGGGGGTGCGCCGCAACTCCCCACCCCCACCCCTGCCCCGGCCCCCCCCCAACTCCAGCTCGCCGGGCTTGGGCCCCCGCGCACCTCCGCAGGCCCTCTCCGCTCCCTGCCGACTCTGCGGTGCTCCCCGGCGGCCGGTGGTCCCTGACCCTGCCCGTCAGGCGCCTCTACTGGGGGAGGGGCAAGAATCAGGGACCCCCTCTCTGCGGTGTCGGGGTCCCTGGCCCAGGCCTCCAGGAAAACGGGAAGACGGCCGCAGGGGCGCTCGGGTGGGCGCAGGACGACCTCCCGGAGCCCAGACCTCACCTCTCTGGGTAGGGCCGTCCGAGTTCTCAACCCCAGGGGCTCGGGGCTGCCGGGAGGGGTCCTGTGGGAGAGGGGTGGGGGTCAGAGGACGGGGGCTCCTCGTAGCCCCCGCTGCCCCGTCGCCTGGCCCCGCCGCCCCTCACCAGGCTCTGTGGGCACGACTTCTCTGGCTCTGGGGCCTTCCCCGCCACCTTCTCTGCCTCCTTCAGGTCTGTCAGAGTCACACCCTGCAAGCAGAGGGTGCAGTCTAGGCCCCGGGGTTCAAGGCGCAGCCCCTTCAGGCTCCCGGTCCAGGCCGCCGCCCCTCCTCCCTCAGACCTGGAGTCCAGGCCCCGGCCCGCCCCCCGCACCTGCGTGGACCTCCGAGACTGGCGCATGAGGCGAGAGCGAGCTTTCCGCTGGGATTCAGACTCCTCATCGCGCACAGGCATCTGGTAGGACCTGTGTAAAGGGCCCCCTGACCTCAGGGAGGGCTCCTTTGGGGCTTGTCCCCATCCCGTGGCTGACACCCTTTGGGGCGGGAGGGGGGGACGGGGCAGGTCCTGCTGGGACTTCAAATCCCAGCAGACCCTGGGGCGAACTCTCCCTTGGGAGCTCCCGCTGGGCAGACAGCTTCCGGGGGCCTCTTTACCTCCGGCGGTCCCGGGAGTCCGCTGTGGGCGCTGCAGAGGCTGCAGGGACAGTTAGTTTCCCTGGGGATCCAGGTTCTGGAATCCTGGAGGAAGGGGCGGAGCTATCCAAGGGAGGAGGCCGGGAGCCCTCACACCTGTGTGGATGCAGCCATTTAGCAAAGGTCACTCAGGCTCGCATGAGGCAGCAGGCACCCGAGACATGGCAGTGAGCAAACGCAACAAATGACCTCCGTTCCACGAGTCAAATCTGAGCGGAAAGCATGCGAAATAAACAATAACCATAAAACGATTAGTCCATTACGGCTACGGCAGGAGGGGAAAGCACACTGGGAAAGAGAAACAGCCAGGACGGGGGCCGGGAGGGGCATGCGCCGGGACAGGGCTGCAACGGGAGCAGCTGCCGCAGGTGGGCCTCCCAGAGAGGGGGCGTGGCAGGCACACAGGCTGGAGGGAGGGCGAGCTAGAGCGAAGGCCCGTGGGCAGCCGCAGGTTGTGCTGGAAAAGGGACAGGTGGAAGCCAGGTAGGGAGGCAACAGGAGGCCAGATCACTGGCTTGTACGTTTCACTATGAGTTTTCACTTGATGCAGCAAAGGGGAAACTGAGGCAGGGCGGTGGGGAGCAGAACCAGACCCGAACAGCAGACAGAGGTGCCCAGGATCACGCTGACAAGGCTAGAAGCCAGACCTGCCTCCCACCTGAGCAGGGCCCAGGCCCTTGGTACTCACAGGACAGAGGGCTCTGGCACCTTCCGAGAAGGGGTGGGGGTAATTCTGGCAAGACGGGGCTCCTTGGCCTGTGGAGAGAGGGAAGGAGGGGGGCATTATCCTGGACTAGCAGGGCTTGGTCCCCTGTCCCTCACCCCACTCACCTGAGCAGAGGTCCCTTCCAGGCGTGAGGAGGAAGCTGAGCGCTGCAGCCCAGTCCCAGAGGCACCCTCAGCCCCCGACCTGTCTGCAGGCCCCAGGGCACCAGAGCTCCCTGTCTTCCGCAGGCCAAAGCGCCTAGAGAAGGGGGTCTCCTCAGGGGTCTGGGGAAACAGAAAGGTCTCAGTTATGGAGAATGGGTCTCTCTTCCCATGTATTTCAAATATTACCCCTGAGGGACCAAAAGAAACTACAACTCCCATCAGCCCCTGGGGTAGGTTCAACCAGGAAAGGCAGTCGGCTGTAGTGAAGGATTCTGGGAACTGTAGTCTTCACTCTACCTACCCAGACGAGAGGTTTACAGGATCCGTGGGAGCTCTCCCCACCCTCAGGATGCACAGCCTTCAGGGCATCCAGACTCACCTCAGGGCCCTTAGGCCTAGAAGGTGGCGGGGAGGAAACTCCATTGAGGGCTCTGGTTTCCGCAGGAGGTGGCTCTATTGTGTGAGAAAATGGGACCAGTCAGAACATGCCAAGGGCCTCTGAGAACCAGCCCCTCCTCCCTGAGACCCAGGAAACCAGACCCCCAGCTCCTCACCTGTGGGGCCTTCCTCTTTCTCATCATCGTCCTGGATGGGGGGCCCCCCTGCCCCACCAGGCCGGCGCTCCTTGGACAAGTCCTGGAGGGAGATCTTCTCTCGGCTGCTCAAACGACACACGGAGCTCCTGGTGGGGAAGGGGCGGGGGTCAGGGTCCCAGCCCTGGACCCCTCCTGCCACCCACCCCAGGGCGCACCCCGTACCTTCGGTGTTTGCTGCTGGAGGGCACCTGGGGCTCCTGGCCTCGCGTCTGGGAGGCTGCCTTCTGGTTCCGCAGCTGCAGGGGAAGGAAAGGGGGCTGCTGGGGAGGGGCAGGACGTGGGCACCCCTCCTGGACCCCACACCCCCAGCCCAGAAGGTGCCCCCCGCACAGCTGTGCCGGTTGCGCCTTCACAGGTACTCCGGGAGGCAGGGAGGAACTGGGGGCCCCTGAAAGTTCTCCTACACAGCCGGCCGTGCCGTGTCCATGGGAGACCCCTGGGTCCCCGTGCACGTGCACCGTGTGCACCCAGCGTCATCCTGCTCTTGCTGGGCCTCCCACTCCCGCTCCCCAGGCTCCGGTCTTGTCCCCAGAAGGGCACCTAAGCACCCAGACACATGCCTAATCAGCTTGTGCCCCCCCGAGTTCACACAGCAAATCCAGGACGGCTGGAGTCCGAGCCCATGTCCACCCCATCCCCCCTTCACTCCCAGAAACAAGGCCGAGCCCGGAGCCAGCTGGGAGGCCCCGCCGGGGTGACGAGGCCCAGTCTGAGCCTGGGCAGACTACCGGCCCACATCCCAAGGTCCACGAGGACCCCAGGCCCCGCCGCCTGCAGCTGCCCAGCTGCCCCCTCCTCACGTCCTCCAATGGGCCTTGGTCACCAGTGGGAATGAGCAGGTCCCCGGGGCAGGAGGCCCGGGGCAATCAGAGGACCCGCAGCCCTCCCTCCTCATCTCTGGAGGTGCTGACGGGGGCGGGGGGCATCTATGAGACTCACATCCTCCTGCTTCTGGGCCAGCTCCTCCAACAGGCTCAGCACCTCCTCGTCAGCCAGGTCACAGGGACGCTGCCCCTGTGGGGGAGGGGAGAGGGGCAGGTGGTGAAGGAGGTGCGGAGGCTTCCCCATCGCCCCCCGCCCGTCCCAAGGGGGTCGAAGGCCCTCACGGCATGGGTCAGCGAGTCCATGCCCCCGCCGTGCTCGGCCAGCAGGCGGCAGGCATCCTCCACGCCCCAGTGGGCCGCCGCGTGCAGGGGGGTCCAGCCGTCCCCATCCCGGAGCTCGGGGTCATAGCCCGCCTGGAGGAGCAGCCTGGGGGCAGACGGGCTCGGGTCAAGGGCCAGGAGAGGCGGGGCCGAGGCTGTGGCGGCAGAAGGATCGCTGCCCCGAGCCCTCCCCACGAGTGACCCCTGTGCCACAGCTCTGACCCCTGCCCTGGCCCAGCAGGTGGCCTCTGGTACCCTGCTCCCTGACCTGCAGGGGGCGGTGGGAGCCCCAAGCCCTTGAAAGGGGTGAGAGCCCAGCAGAGGCGGCCGGGACGGCAGTGCCCAGAACGCAGCAGCTCAGAGCGCTGGTTCTCAGCCAGGGCCCTGCCGCCCCGGGGCGCCGCTGGCAGTGTCTGGGGACAGTTCTGGCTGTCAGGAGGTGGGCGTGCGAGCAGGATCTAGCGGGCTGGTGCCGGGGATGCTGCTCAACTTCCTACAGTGCAGAGAACAGCCCCACGGCAAAGGACAATCTGGTCCAAATGCCACCACTGCCGAGGCTGAGAGACCCCGGCTTAGATGTCCTTCTCCCGGAGACATTTATCCCCCGAGACCGCACGATCCCAGAAAAGGCGAGGTTACAAGTCCAGAGCAATCCCGCAAACCCGGCCGGGGCAGACACGCCTGCTTTAGAGAATCGTGCTAGGCTCTCTGTCTGTGAGAAAGAGCTAAAGCAAGGTCGTAAAGGATGGAGACGAGATGGTTTGTAAAGAACCTTTTCTTTTTCTTTTTTTTTTTAAAAAACACTATTTACTTATTTGCAGAGAGAGGGGAAAGGAGGGAGAAGGAGGGGGAAACACCCATGTGTGGCTGCCTCTTGCACACCCCCCCACCGGGGACCTGGCCCACCGCCCAGACCTGGGCCCTCTCTGGGAACCCAACAGACGACCCTTTGGTTCGCAGGCTGACGCTCAATCCACTGAGCCCCACCAGCCGGGGCGAGAACCTTGTTAAACAGAAGGTCCTCTCTGTGGCCCTGCTGACCCGGTCACACGCCTGACCCCCGGGCCGTCCCTGCCCCAGCCCTGCGGGGTGTCCTGCTGTTTCCCGGGGGGTGCACCGCCTCGGGTCCTGCCATCGCTGTTATCTGCCTCGTGGGCGTCCTTGGGACGCGGCAGCATTTCACACGGCCATCCCTGGGCCTGACCATTTAGTATCCCACCCCCCTCGTCACAGAGATCGGCTCTGGGACGGGCAGGTGCCTGAGGCCGCCCAGGGGCCATCAGACCCAGGCTTTTGCTGGAACAGGGATGAGGCACTGGGCTTCAGGAGCAAGTACTAAGCAGCTGAGGCACCAGCCTGGAGCCGTCAGGGGTCACCTGAGATACCTCACTGAACACCTGCGTGGCGATTCGACACAGAGGGGAACAGACACAAAGGGGTTCCTCCGAACTCCGTTTCACACTAAAAATAAACGCGATGTCACAAAAGAGGGTGGGGATTAAAGAGAGAGCTGAGAGCCTGAGGATGAGAACGGGAAGGACAACTCTGACAGAAGACAGGAGTGGGCGGGGTCGCTGAATGCGGAAGGACCAAGTCGTACGCAGAAGGGGAGTGTGCACCGGAACAATTTAAACCCTGCATACACCAAAGAACCCAGCCTCGAAATGTGTAACGAAAGTTCATAGAACCAGCAGGAGGAACGGGCAAAATCCACAATCACGGGCTGGTTTGTTTTTTATCACACCTCTTACATTGACAGGATAAGCAGATGGTGGGGGGGACCACTAAGGACCTAGATTTAAATAGCCAGCACGACTATGAAGTTGACCCAATAACCTACTTACAACACTGTGCCTGACAACACAGTTCTTTCTCACCTTACTTATACTGGGGAAAAATAAAGCAAACCTCAACCCATTTCAGAAATCTGGAATCATACCGAACCCCATTCTGATCACAGTGCCGTTAAGCCAGGACACGCATAATGAAACGATGACTAGGGATGAGGAAGTCCCATGTACTTGCAAATTAAGAGGGTACTGCTAAATAACCGGCGGGTCAAAGACCAAAAATTACATGCTGGAAAATGTTTTACAGTGGATGACCAGGAAAAGCCTACACATCAAGACTTACGGATGCAGCTAAAGCTTTATTTAGAGGCAAATACATAGCCTTAAGTACATACATTAAGAAAGAATGGGCCCTGGCTAGAGGGGCCCAGTGGATTGAGTGCCGACCTTTGAACCAAAGGGTTGCTGGTTCAACTCTCAGTCAGGGCACAGGCCTGGGCTATGGGCCAGGTGCCCAGTAGGGGGCATGTGAGCAAGGCGACCACACTGTGATGTTTCTCTCCTTCTTTTTCTCTCACCCTTCCCCTCTCTCTACAAATAAATAAATAAAATATTTTAAAAAAAGAAAGCATGGGACAAAATCCACAGGAAGATATAAGACAATGAGAAGGGAGAGACTAGCCCCACAGAAGGAGCAGGGGAAAGGGAGGAAAGGCCCCCTCACCGGCCCGCTCACCTCATCACTTCAATGTAGCCCTTAGCAGCGGCCACATGCAGAGCAGAGGCCCCCGTGCGGGGGTGCCGAGCCTCGGGCATGGCGCCCCCATTCAGCCAGCACCTGGTGTCGTGAAGTAGCAATTCCTCTTCGGCGCGTTTGGCTGCCTCCACATCCACACCTGGGAGGACAAGAAGGGGTGACAGGTGAGACTCACAGCCCAAGGTCCAGGAAGTGCAGCTCGCCCTGCACCTCAGCCTGTGCCTCGCCGTCCGTGTGCCCCTCTGGGTACCAGGGGGCCGGGCCCGGCCCAGCAGCCTCCCGGCCATGTTCTGTGCTGCCGGCTGGGAGAACGGAACTTGCAGGCGTTTTCCAGCTTTAACCAAAGCATCCCCTTTATCCTTATTTTTAAGTATAAAACCTAAGGTTCGTGGAGCAGATCCAGCATTTGCCTACGTGAACTCTTCCTTTCACTACAAACGCGACCCTTAGCCCATCTTCTCGCATTCTGCCACCGGCGTCACGCTGGTCACTCGTGCGTACGACAAACCGAGCCAAAAGCCACTGAATAAAGTGTCCGTCTCCGCGGGGCAACACCTCTCCTCCCCAGGGCTGCTCCCTGTCCCCAGCGATGCCAGCTCTTACGACGGTCTGGCCTCCTCGCTGGCCTGTCGGCTTCCCGGACCGCTGTGCTGCCTTTATGGCTGCGAAAGGCAAGCGACGGCTTCGGATAAAATGCAGGTTGATTCTGGATCAAAACAGCCTCCTTGAGGCTATGGAGTGTCACTGAGGATCTGCATTCTTTTGCCTGAGAAACTACTGAGACGGGACTCAAAAATGGTCTCTTCCAGGGAATACTCTTTTTTCCCCAGGAGACCTAGTGCTGCCTCTCTCTCAGCTGGGCCGTTTCCCACAGCTGCCAAGGTGCCGCGCTGACTTGAGCTGCCCCGCACAATGGCTGTTGGCCCCACGTGGCCGCTGAGCGACCGAAATGCGGCCAGTCCAGGCTTAGAAGTGTTGTAAATGTAAGAAAAAACACACGCTGGATCTCAGGTATAAAACAAAGTGTGCAGTAATTCATGAATAATTTTATGTGGCTCACATGTTGAAATGATGTTTTGGATACACTGGGTTAAAGAATATGCCGCTAAACGTAATTTCACCTGTCTCATTATTTTTAAATCTACCTACAAATTTGCTTTCACGAATATGTATTCTGTTGTACCCCTACTGCAAATGCTGCAAACTGGAGCCCTGGGAACTCCATGCCCACCATCCCTGGCTGAGGACCAAATCCATCCAAGTCCAGCTTCATGTTGGCGCCACCTGGCGGCACCTGGCCCTCACGACCAAAGGCACCACCTTGGGAGTCCCAGCAGGCGGGGTGGACAGTGGCAGCTATTCCAGGAATGTCTGGCTGGTTAGGGCCCATCTCCCGGGCCCAGTCTGGAGTGGAGAGGCCTGGAGTGTGCTGGGGACTCAGGGGCCCGCCCTCCCCTTCCCTCTGCCCCTCCGCCACTTCCCTGAAGGGAATCACCTGCGTCCAATCCCATTACAGCTGAATGTGCCAGCTGTTGGGAAGGGAACGGCCAAGCTTGCTGACTTTATCCAGCAACTGCCGTTACTTCGGTGTCTTTTGCCTGTTCGCACTCATCCTTCTCAAATCTGTCCTCAGTGGAGGTCTGCCTGTGTCTGCCTGACAGTTCGTCACGGGCTGACAAAGGACAGCCTGAGGCGGCCGGTGCAGGCCACCGTTTTGAGTGTGTGCACGGTGATGGTAAAATAAAAGCTAACAAATGTACCCATTCCGCTATTTTTAAAGTCCACACCTCGGTGGCATTTAGCACATCCACAATGGTGTACGACCTTCATCCTCTTGTGCCTGAACCCCACCCCCACGCAGCACCCACTCCCCAGGCCCTGCAGCCACCGGTCCCCTCCTGTCACTGTGGATTTGCCTGTTTGTAAACAAGGTGCTACTGAACACAGCCCTGCGCGCACACTTACACACAGCCCCTGGCTGTGTCCCCCATCGTGGCAGCAGGTGGGGAGAGGGGTCCGCACCTGCCAGGACACCCCACAAAGCCTAAGAGGTGCCACCAGCCCCGCCGGGCATCTCCAGAACCCTCCGTCCTGTGAAACTGAAACTCAGCCCCCAGGAGACGATGCCCCCCAGCCCGGGCCACCACCGTCCTGCTTTGCCTCTGAGTCTGACCGCCGGGCACCTCGCACGGATGGAATCACACACTGCCTGCGCTTCCGTGACTGGCCTATTCCGCTCAGCGCAATGTCCCTTACGGCTCATCCACGCTGTAGCACGTCAGAAGTTCCTTCCCTTTCAGGCTGAGTAACGGTGCGGCTCCACCGCCTTTCGTCCGTCCACCTGCTGATGGACGCTCGGGCCGCGTCCACGCCGCGGTGAACGCAGGCGACCTGAGCCGGGCTGCGATGGGTTTCTGGTCCTTGCAAAGGCTCGTGCCTAACTCAGCCCGGAGCCCACTGCACCAGAGGCCTTCACGCCAGATGGGAGCTGTGCTCGGGGAAACTGGCTGAGCGGACCCGGCTCCCTCGGGGACCAGCAGCCTCGGCGAGAGGCAGACAGCAAGGGAGGCGGGACAGCGGGGGGGACGGCCGTGCTTGAGAAAGCAGCAGCAGCTGAGCTCTGGGCAGCGTCCACTCCACTGACCACGCCTTCCCTCCTGGCGTGTCCAGCCTCTACCCACCGCCATCGTCTGTCCTGGCCCCGATGTGCGTGGCTTCCGGGGTCAGACGGCAGCCGGCACCTGTCTGGGGGCGCAGCACACAGGAGGGCTCTCTGCCTTCCAGATGTGGACTCGGGGGAGGGGGGCAAAAGCCCCCCGAAATCCAGGGTCTGCTGAGGCATCTAGGTGAGGGTGTGGGTCGGGGAGCCACGTTGGCGGAGGCCTCCGGTTCCAGAGGCAGCGGCACCCCACCCTGCGGAGCGGCCGAGGGTCCTGCAAGCCAGCCGCCCCCCACCTTCTCCTCGCCCCACGGAAGGGGAGCGCAGGCCGCTTGAGAAGCTGATGTGCGCTACGGGCGGTTCCTGCAGAAAAACCCAGGATGTCCAAGGGTCCCCAGACGCCCCGACAGCCCGAGAACTCTGGGCGAAGGCCCACGGAGGCGACCTCCAAGCCCCGCCCTGCGCACCACCTTCTCTCACCAGGGAAGATGCCTCCATGGCACGGCCACCTGGCCAACACCCTGAACACACACCCTGAACGAAGTTCAAGGTTAACTTCACCAATAAAGGGGCAGATAGGCAGGGCCTGTCTCCCAGGGTGACCACGGGTCCAGAGCCAGAGAAGGCTCCCCGCCCTGCAGATAACAGCGGTCCAGATGCCGCCTGCAAAGCAACAATGTCACGTCCCACACGGTTACCCGGAGTGTCCTTGCTCTGGGAGACACTGGCTCCTGTGTCCAGTAGAGGCCACAGTGTCGGCAACACGTTCTCAAAATGCTTCAGGAAAGAGAGGGAGGAAGCCAGGGAGGGAGGAAAGAAAGAAAGAGGCGGATTTACGTAGGGGGCGAAGAGCCCATGGAAATGTGCTCAGAAGTTACAAAACTGATACATCCCTATTCCTGTACATGAAACATCCAGAACCGGCACACCCGTGGAGAGAGAAAGCGAAGGCTGGTTCCCTGGGGCGAAGCGGGCGGGGATCGGGGTGGGGTGGAGGGGGCGGGGCTGTGCTCAGGGCGACCGAAACCACCTAAACGGCCCTGCTGATGGGTGCGCAGCCGCGAACAGCGGCGCCGGGCGGACCGTGATTCCCACCCACACAACCCTGCTGCAACACAGGCCAACCTCGGCGAAGGCTGCGACGCTTCTGAGTTTAAAGTTTTTCCACACGAAAAGCCGCAGGAGAGGAGGGAGCCCCCAGCCCTGCCTCTGACGTCCTCACTGCCCCCGCAAGCAAAGCAGGGTGCCCAGTGCCCACCCGCCCGCGGCTGGCGCTGCCTGCCCTCCTCCCTGGACAGCACAGCCACGTCCTCCGTCACCCATAGGGCAAGGGTGCCACCCCAAAACGCCGGACACCAGCAGCCACACTCGAGACCCAGGACTCCTGGAGGGATCCCACAGCAGCGCGAGCCCCGCACCCTCCGCGTCCGGGGCGGTCCGGCCACAGCCCGCCCCACGGGCCCTCCCATCACCTCCTGCTGGACAGCTATTTTTAGGGGGGGGATGTGTGTGTGTGTGTGTGTGTGTGTGTGTGTGTGAGAGAGAGAGAGAGAGAGAGAGAGAGACCCTGCTAGAAGCGATACACACTCTCCTTAGAAAAAGGAGCCTGGCCGGCCACACGGGGGCTCCGGACCCCGTACCGAGGCCCCTGGGGTTCAGGGGTCCTGAGCACAGGGAGCCAGTCCCCCGGGAACCCTGCACCCTTCCTCCTTCAGCAGACACTCCTGAGAACACGCGCACTGACGGCCCCGCATCTCTCACCTCACCGCACCTCCGGACGAGCCGCCGGCCCCCTCAGCCCCCGGCCCCCGCCGCCATGGCCTCTGTCACTCGGAGGGTACCCTGGACATTTGGGTCCATGTCCGTCTGAGCTCTGATTCGGCGCCCAGCGGTGGCACACTCTTTATACGATCACTTGTTCGGGGTGCCAAGCAACCCTGGGAGTAGGTATTTATACCCCCATTTCATGGATAAGGAAACTGAGGCACAGAGGGAGTCTAGGGATGGTAGGAAATGGGGGGGGGGGCGGCCTCTGAGTCCCGACAAGCCGATTCCCAAGCTCTGCACCTTGAGGCCACGGGGAGCAGGAGCCCCACCCCCAGCAGCCGCCGGGGCCCACCTCGGCGGGCGATCTCGGCCTTCAGGAGGCCCTCCATGGCGTCGGACTCGGCCAGGTCCAGGGGCAGGTCCCCATCACTGTTGACAGCGGCAATGTTGGCCCCGTGGCTCAGGAGGTACCTGGGGGTGGGAGGAGCTCAGGGCTGAGGGGTCGGGGTCCAAGGCCCGGCCGCTCTGCCAGGCCCTGCCCGCCTCTCCCCGCCTCACCTGTCCCCCCGCCTTACCTGGCGATGTCCAGGTAGCCACAGGAGGCGGCCACATGCAGGGGAGTCCAGCCCTCGTTGTCCGCCTGGTTCACCGTGGCGCCCTGCTCCACCAGAAAGCGCACCACCTCCAGGTTCTCATCGATGCAGGCCTGGGGGGGGGGGGGGGGGACAGGGCTGTCAGCGCTCAGCTCACCCAGACACCACACGTCAGCTGGGCAGGACTCCTGACGGGGACCTCTGGGCAGGGCCAGGGGCCGGGCAGCTGTGAAATTCAAGGAAGAGACCCCGACGGCCCTGGAACGAGCTCTGAGAGGCAGCAGCCCAGACTTTGGAGGGCGCTCCAGCCCCCGGCTGTTTGCAACACCCCTGGGTTCCCGAAGGTTAGGTGAGCCGGCCATCCAGAGCACAGTGGAGACCATGGGGACAGGTCTCCCCGTGAAGGTCCCAGCTCCCTTCAGGTCGGAACTGGATAGAGAAGAGAGGGGTGCTTCTAATCCACGTGCAGGAATCCTGACCGGTGCTCGTTGGAGGGGACCTACCCCGTCACCACGGATGGCACGGGGCTCCAGGGACGGTGGAAGGGAAGAGGCCCAGCCCCTCCCCCCTCAGACCCAGCGGACACTCTCCAGGAACCGACCACGGCCCTGCCTTGTGCCCTGGGTGGAGGCCGCTGGGCGCTGGCGGCCCGAGGTGGCTGCAGGTGTCGGAAGGTGGGACAGAGCGAGGGTCGGGGCAGGACTCCCACAGTGGGGGGGGGCCGTGTCGGCGCGGGCCCGGGTCCTGCAGAGCCACGACGCACAGGGCGCCGCGCGGGGGCTCGGTGGGCACGGTCCCCCCCGGCTGCCGGCCGGGCTCTGCTTCATGGAGGAATCCAAGCTCCGCAGACCAAAGCCCCATGACGCCCGCAAACACTGGGCGGGTCTGAGGGAGGCCGCGGACCGGACCCCTGGCTCCTCGGGGTAAAGTAAGCCCCTCCAAAACTGCCCATGTGCAGAGGGGGGAGGAAGCTGCGAGGGCCAAGAACATTAAGTCATGGAAACTCGGGCTGTGACAGGGGGGCCACACGTGCCCTGGGAACGGGATGAACTCTGGGCTCCGTTTATTTCCACCCGGTTGTCATGGTGAGGGGGGAGGGGGGCAAGGAGGGAGATGGGCCTTTCCCTTTCAAGGACCTGGCCCAGCAAAGGCATCCGTGTGAACGATGCCTGGGGCCTGGGCACCAGGGACCCAAGAATCCAGGCCCCAGCCCCACCTCCTCGGACGCGTGGGACCAGGTCCCCCGCAGCCCCCTCTTCGGACCCCAGAATCCTGGCTCCCAGAGCCTCCTACTAACCCAGGCCCCAGATCCTCCTACTAATCCAGACCCCGAGCCACAAATTCAGGAGATAATTTTGGGAAGGAGGAGAGTACACCAAGCTGAGGCTTCCCAGGGCCACGAGCAGGGTGAGGGGCTGATGCCTGGGGACCCGCTTGGGCAGGACACAGAACAGAAACCATCGCCCCAGGCCTCACCCAGACAGGGGGTCAGCCACCCAGGGCCCTGCGGCGCGCGGCGCTGAAACCAGGCCCGTCTCAGGCACAGCGGCACGACCTGGTGACCCCAGAGCCAGGCTGACCCACACCGCGCTCTCCCCTTGGCCGGCCACCAGACTCGAGTGGGGAGCTCCCCTCCCTGAAGCTGGAGTGCCCTAAAACCCTTCGGGCCGCCTAAGAGCCTGGCAGCACGTTTATCAGGTGCTGGCCCAAAGCAGGAGAGGGCGCCGTGCCGGGCGAGGCTGGAGGGGCCTTTTGCAGGGTCCGGGACAAGGGGGATGCTGGGTAACGGGGCCCTGAAAATCAGGGCCAGGAGCCCTGTAGGGAAGGTCCAGGGGAGCCAGGGGTGGGGAGGGTGGCAGAGGAAGGGGGACACTGAGGCTTGAGGACCCTCTCCTGAGCAGGCCAACCTCTGAGACCCTACGTGGCCTCAGGGAAGCGGATTCTCCTCTGGGTGGAAGAAAATGTCCCAGGTGGCACGGACGCCTCTGCAAGGGACAAGCCTGGGGGTGGGGAAAGAACGGGGGAGGAGGAAGAAGTAGGCCCGGGGCAGCGACTCCCCACTGACCACCTAGGCTGCTTCCTGAAGGGAGCTGGCACACACACAACCTCCCCTCTTCACCAGCGCCCTGCCAGGGAGGGGCTGGTGACCGGCCCCATTTTACAGACAAGAAAACTGAGGCATAGGAGAAAAAGACACTAACTCAAGGTCACAGCGCTGCAAGGCTGAGGTCAGAACTCAGGGCCGTTCTATTCTTGAACCGCTCCTCCTCCTGAGAGGCGGACCTCTCCAAGCTCTCCCCGCTTCGCCCTGCCAAGCCCCTTCCCAGGGTCCTCTCTGGCTCCATCAGCAACCAACCCCCAGGGGTTCTGGCTGGGACTGGATCAATATTAGACTAGGAGGGATGGGGGAGGGGACGGAGGCTCTCCTGCGGCCAGTCCTGGCCCTGGTGGTCCCACTGCAGAAGGTTGGGGGAGGGGACAGATATAATCACCCAGCACCAGAGAGAACCCTGGGGCACAAGTGGCCCTGTTCTGGGACACGGGGACACTGGAGGCAGCAAGCGCGGTGCCTTAGAAGAGCACAAGGGCCCAGGTTGTGGAGGGAGTGGACTAACAACTCTCAGGAAGGTAACATGACAGAAGGCTAAGAGATGACACAGTGTGTGGGAGGGAAAAGCCGGCCAACCCCGCCCGAGGAGAGGCTATCTGGGCAGGGAAAGCAAGATGACCAGAGAATGAGGAGGTGGCCCAAAGCCAGGAAGAGGTGGGTGCTTTGAGGGAGCGCAGAAAGAGAATGATGATGCAGGCCTCGCCGGGGCACAGGGAGAGAGGGGAAGGTGAGGAGGCGTCTGCAGGAGAAACATCCCCGGGAGAAGGCGTCCAGTGGGAGGCAAGAGGTGGCACCAGCCCAAAAGGAAGATTAAAAGGGCGTGGGAGTGGCGGGCAGCAGGGTGAGCCAGACAAGCAAAGCATCCACTTCAAAGGTGCGGAGCCTAGGGGGCAGTGTGAATGTTCATTCAGAAAAGCGCATCCTTAGTCAGCAACAGATGGCACTAACGAAGGGGGTAAGAAAAACGGGGAGAAGGAGAACCCTGAAAGGCATAAGGGATCTGGGCCTCGTCGCAGAGGTGGCCCAGGGCAGGGACCAGCGGAGGAGGAAGCACAGGCCCAGGAGAGAGGATGCTCCTCCGTGAAAGTGGTACCTGCCTGGAAGGGAGCAACAGAGGGCCAGCGGCAATACTACTGTTGCAGAAGAGGTGGCACAGACTCAGGACAGCGTGGCAGCATTAGGTGGCACAGAAGAGGTGGCACCGGTGGGGGTGGCAGAGACGACACTGGTAAAGGGCGCTTAGGGTCTGGCGAGGACAGCGCGGAGTGACAAGACCAGGACCAGTGAGATGGACCGGACTGAGACCATCAGCTATGGTTGGGGTCCGGGAAAGGGCGGCGCACGGTGGCAAAGGCCAAGGCCCGTTCAAATGGCTCAGGGCTGGAGAGGAGAACTCGAGGTGCGTGGGATGGGAAAGGGGGCTCGGACAGGGAGTCAACCCAGGATGGCAAGAATCGGGACCGGCATCGCCAGTGCAGATCTGGACAGGGGAGGGCGGTGGCGCACAGAAGCAGCCGAGGCCCGGGGAGGGGCGGGGGCGCTGACCTGATGCAGGGCGCTGATACCGTCGGCGTTGGTGGAGTCGAGTACGGCGCGGGCGGGTGGCGGGGCGGAGGGGTCGAGCTCGGCGTCGGGGCCGGGGTCCGCCGCGCGCAGCATCAGGCGCGCCTCGTCCAGGTCGCCGCACGCGCAGGCCGCCAGGAACTCGGCAGCGCGCTCGAAACGCACGGTGCGGACGCGCCGCTCCCCGGGGCCCGGCTCCGCGCCCGCCCGCGCCCCCCACTGCCGCAGCTGTTCCTGCCGCCGCTCGCGGGCTGCTGCCGCTGCTGCCCCCGGGCCCGCCCCCGGGCCGTCCTCACCCGACATCGCGCCGCTCGCCCGCTCTGTGAGCGAGCGAGCGAGCGAGCGCCGAGCCCCAGCCGCCGCCGCCCGCCCCGGGGCCGCCGGGAACTGCCGCTCGCCTTGCACCGCCCGCCGGAGGATCTGCCGGCCCCCGCCCAGCGCTCGACGTCACCACGTCGCCCCGTGGCTCGCTGGGAAATGCAGTCCGCCAAAGAGAACCGCGGGGAGCGCTGGGAAGTGGAGTCTCTATCAAGCGGAAGTTCCTAATGGCGGCATTCCAGCCTCTATCTGGCCCCAGGCACCCTGGAAAGTCCGGTGCCCTCACAAGTCAAACAGATATCTGATTGAGGGGATGCTCCGGGGAACGCTAGACAATAGAGTCTGTAGCCGGAGGTGTGCCCCACAGGGCAAGCTGGGAAATGTAGTTGATAGTATCTGGGCCCGAAACTTGGTAGGAAAGGGACCCTACAGCCCAGGAGTCCTAAAAGATAGAAAACAAATTTTTCCATACGCCTTATCAGCTTTTCTCAGATCATGTAATTTATGTGTTATGGGCTGTCTGCTCCCTTCAACCAGAAAATAGCTTCAGGAAGACAGCGAATTTGTCTTCTGTGTGCCCTCCTGTTCCCAGAGTCAAGAACTGCGCCTAATTGTACGCGATCGAAAAGTATTTGAATGAATGAATGAATGAGTGGATTCCCTAGGTCGTGGGAAACGCCAAGGCACCATGGGATACTGAGTCCGTAATCCCTAAATCATTCAACACAACTCAGGTCCAGGCCTCCCTGGATGGCCCCCAGGGCATGCTGGGAAATTGAGTTTGCGGTACAAAGTTCACGGCAATCGGCCAGCAGCCTAGGGGCATGCCGGGAAATATAGTCCGCAGGACCACGCCCCTAAAGAGTATAAGCCCTAAGCACCCGAAGAAATCAGGTTCAACAGCAAGAGAAGTCCAAAGTCCGTGATGATAACTCCTGGATCACATTAGGAAATGAATCCATCCGGAGAGGTCCACAATGAGCGCCCGCAGAACCTTCTGGCTTGTCCTTCTCTTGATCTCACCCAGGGTCGTGGAGCACATTGGGAAATGTAGTCCAGCCCCTACATCCCGCAAGCCATGCTGGGATTTGTAGTCCAGAGAGAGGCATTAGACTAGATTTGGGAGGGAGTAGTCTCATACGTAGCACTATAAAGCATGAAACAATCCTCACCCTAAGCATCCTGCACCTAAGTCCAAATTGAGAAAGATGCAGGCACTTTGAGACTGGAATAAAGGCCTATAAAAGTCCCTCCAAAAGATGCCAAAGTCTGGACAGAAGCAACAGACTCCACCCACTCTGAAGAATTTGGGCCTGTGCAAAGAAATACTACGAATCCCACAAGGCCTTGGTAGTACCGGCCATAGATACAAAAGGGATAGTAGTCCCGGTGGCCCTTGGGATATGCAGTCCTCAATCCCAAACATCCCTTGCACCTGCCCACCAACCTCCTCCAAGGAGCTTAAAAAGCAAGCACCAGTCCAGCCCAGAGGCTTCTCCACGAGGTTTGCTTGAGAGGCTCTTGTGCAAAAATGCCTGCTAGGTTCTGTTTTTTCTTTTTTCTTTTTTCTTTTTTTTTTCTTTACATTAGAACCCAGTTGGCCACCAGGAGCCCTTCTTAATAGTTAGGGTTCACAGTACCCATTTCCAAATACAGAAACAAAGATAAGTTACACCAGAGAGACCTTTCCCACTACCCACCCCTCTCCCCCAAAAGACATGATAGCTTAAGTAACTTGGAGTACATTCTGGAAGAAACAAAAAACAAAAAAACAAGCAGTAAATCATCATATGTTACTGTGTGTTTCTATGCCTGTTGCATCTGTAAGTGGGCATGTGCTGTTTATGGGCGCTTCTGTTTATGGTGCCTGTAAGCTTTGGTGTACATACATCTGTATTTTTGTAACTGTGATTATTTATTTGTGGGAGGCACAATTTGGGGGTATCTGCTCAATCCACAGAAGGAACTGTGGGTCATTCTCCCACCATAAGCTTTATTATCAATGGTTACGTTGACTTTAACTTCTACTTTTAAAATTCTACTCTGTTGCAGTGGTTAAGAGTTCCAACCATGGTTTAGGCTGTCCTGGGTTCGACTCTTGTCTCCATCCTCTTTCTAGCTCTGGGTCCTTGGACCAGTTTCTTCATCTCTGGAGTTGCTCGAGACAGCAGACATAAAGTATCTGGTAGGTAGAAGACGCTGGCTGTGTCCAGGCATTTTCATACTCGACTTGTTAATTCTCTTCTACCATTTTCCTTTCCATGGGGAAGATTTCTTCCCTTCTCAGTCCTGTTTTCTCGACTTGTAAATTCTCTTCTGCCCTTTTCCTTTCCATGGGGAAGATTTCTTCACTTCTCAGTCCTGTTTTCTCTCAGTGGTAACCCTGGAATTTTGATTCCTGACCTTGGAGCTGCTGGCCCTCCCCACTGCTGGCGAAAGTAACCTCAGAATGATTTTTAAAAAAATGTTCTCTCTTTCCCTGCAACAGGCAGAAAAACAGGCACCGGTCTGCATGACAGAGGCGGTTCAGATAAAGGAATGAACCGAGAACGTGCACAGGGTACCCGGTTCACGCACCTGTCCAGTGCGGAAACAGACCTAAGGACATTATAACTCAGTTATGATGTCTGCTTTTTAAACACTGTCCTTGTGAGACTTATTTGCACAAAAAGAGCATTTTCCATTTAAGAGGAAAGTATAGCCCTGGCTGGTGTGGCTCAGTGGATTGAGTGCCGGCCTGCAAACCAAAGGGTCACTGGTTTGATCCCCAGTCAGGGCACATGCCTGGGTTGCAGACCAGGTCCCCAGAAGGGGGCGTGTGAGAGGCAAACACACATGGTTGTTTCTCACCCTCTCTTTCTCCTTCCCTTCACTTCTCTCTAAAAATAAATCAATAAAATCTTTAAACAATTTTTTTTTAAAAAGAGGGAAGTATATTGTGAAAGACACCCATTGCTGACCTGCTTGTGGAGGCTGGTGAAGCCCTTATTGTCTTAATCAGTGCAGGCTGCCCGGCCAAAAACGCCATCGATCACATGGCTTAAACAACAGCCATTAATTTCTCACAGTTCCGGAGGCTGGAAGTCTGAGATCAGGGTGCCAGCATGGTGGGGTTCTGGTGAGAGGCCTCTTTCTGGTTTGCAGACAACCACTTCTCTCTGTGACCTCACATGTCGAGGGAGAAAGCTCTGGTCTCTTCCTCTACTTCTAAAAACCCCTCCATGGGGGCCCCACCCTCAGGACCTCACCTGACCCTGATCACCCCTCAAAGGCCACACCTCCAAACACCATTCCATTGGAGGGAAGGGCTTCGACATACGGATTTGGGGGGACACAAACCTGTAGTCCATAGCACCTACCCCTTGGACAAAGGCAACACCTTAGAGATACAGCCTCACAAATGAAGGAGCCTCATCCCGGGACAACCTCATGAAACACAGCCCCATCTCAACTCAGACTTTTAAATGTCAGAAAATCGACTTTCTCGCTGAAGCCACTGTTATTTGGGATTTGGGGCCCAGTAGCCAGACCAACCTGCTCACTAATGTAAGTCCCAATTCAGAAAGTCACAGAGTGGCAAAGGACAGGCGTTAATTTGTCAGTCACCTAATTCTCCCGTGGGCAACCTTGTAAATTATTTTGTTAGGCTTAGTAGTTTTTTTTTTCTTTAATCCTCACCCAAGAATATGTATTATTATTATTATTGGTTTTAGAGAGAGAGAAATATCGATGTGAGAAACATTCATTGATTTGCCTCCCATACGTGCCCTGACTGGGAATCAAACCTGCAACCTAGGTATGTGCCTTGACTGGGGATCGAACCCACAACCTTTTAGTCTATGGGATGATGCTCCAACCAACTGAGCCATCCAGTCAGGGCAGGCTTTGATTTTGCATTTCTAAAATCAGATACACTGAACACACTGAAAACTTTATCTCTTCAAAGTGCCCAATTCAGTGGTTCTTTAGTGTATTCACAAGGTTGTATAACTATCACCAATTCCACAACATTTTCACAAACGTTCTCTTTAGCCCCACTTCCCCATCCCTTCCTACCCCCTCCCGCCCCCGGTCCCTGGAAAGCACTAATCTAACCTTCTGTCTCTATGAGTTTGCCTCCTGGAAATTTCATAGAAACGGAATCACACGCTATGTGACCTTCCATGCCTGGCTTCTCTCAGCATCATGTTTTCAAGGTTCATCCATGTTGTAGCACGTATCAGTGCTTTACTCCTTTTCATGGCTGAGTAGTATTCCACTGTATCTGTACATCAGTGATGGACACTTGGGCTGTCTCCACCTACTGGCTTCTGTAAGTAATGCGATGGTCCCATTCATAACTCATATGCAAGTTCTCGTAGGGACCTATGTGTTCATTTCTCTTGAACAGATGCTGAGGAGTGGAACTGCTGGGCCAGTAACTCTGCATTTAACGTTTTAAGGAACTTAAGGAACTGACGGTTTTCCAAAACGCCACCCCATTTGGCCTTCCCACCAGGCACGTGGGAGGGTTTCACTTTACATATCATTGTGATAATGTGAGGGTTCTCGGAACAGGGCTTGGTGATAAGAATTTAATTAACTGTGAGATGCTGGCTGCAAGTTAATAACAATAATGACAACCTCAGCAGGTAGCCACAGGTGGAGCTTTTATTTTCAGAAACAGATGGAAGTAGCCCTCCGAGGGCTCCTGGTTCCTCCGGACGGGCTGCCACAGACTGGCCACCACCTCAGCCTCACTTCCAGCGGCCTCCGACGCGGCCCTTCCCTGCCCCCTTCCGGCTGGAGGAGAATGCAGGTATCAGGAGGGAGGGCTTCCCGGCCCTCTTGAGACGGGACCCCCTGCCCCAGAACACGCGCCCTCCACGCCCGGAGGAAGAAGAGCCGGGCAAATGCGTTCTCATTCAGGTCTGCTGGCTGGGGTGGTGGGGGTCATGGTTAACCCCCAGTGACATGCGGGGTTGGTGTCTGCGCTGAGTGGAGGTGATCGCGGGGGTGCTGAGGTGGGTCACAGTAATGACTGGGGGGCCAGCACTGCTGGCCTAGGGCCTCATCACTGTGGGGGGGCTGTCCTGGGCACCGCAGGGTGTTGAGCGGCACCCCTGGCCTTCCCCCGCCACTAGGTGCCAGGGGCACCTCCCGGTTAGAACAACCAAAAATGTCCCACACTTTGTCCATCGTCCCCTTGGAGAGCAAGATCACCCCCATCCTTAAGAACCAGGGACAGAAGGACAGGGAGACAGTGCCCCAGAAGAGAGACAAAGGGCAGACAGGAATGACAGAAGGAGGGACAAAGACAGAGGAAGGGACAGGCACCAAGAGGGAGTGAGGGGGATGGAGAAGGAAGGAGAGACCTCAAGAGTCAGAGGGGGGCAGGGCTCAGGCCCAGTAACACTTACAACTTCTGGGCGTGGCTGATGCGGTTGTAGAGAACGTTGATCTGCGGAGGAGGTGGGAGGGAGATGCTGGCCCAGCCTGGGGACAGGCCCCCGTCCACCCCACCTGCCCTGTCCCAGCCCGGCCTGGGCCCCCGGCAGCGCGGGGCTCACCTCGTATTTCTGCTGCTTCATCTTCTCCATCAGGTCAAACTTCTCGGACTCCAGCTGGTGGATCCAGTCCCACAGTTCCTGGGCCTTGTCCCTGGCAGGGTGGACAGGCTGTCACACACTGGGCACTGCTGCACCTGAGACTCAGAGAGGCTGAGGGCACTGTCCAAAGCCACACAGCCTGGCTCTGAATTGGGTGTCATTGGTCCGATTTGGTTAATATTGGAGGCAGAAATAGTCAATGGGAATTGACACAATTGGATTTGAAAATCTCTGCTCACTCTCTCCCTCCCCACAATGGAGATTCATATTCCCCTAAACAGGGATGAAATGACTAAGGACCCAGGCTCCGGAGTCAGAAAGCCCTGGTTCAAGTCCCAGCTCTTCCCTTGTCTGCTTGGTGACTATGGTCAAGTGACTTCCCCTAGGATCCTGTTTCCCTCTCCAAAAAAAAAGAAAAGTAGAAATAAAATTGTGAAAGAGCTGGCTGTATGCCCACCCAATATCCCTTCTCCCTTTCTTCCTTAGAAACAGAGCTCTTTGGCCTTGGCTGGTGCGGCTCAGTGGATTGAACCAAAGGGTCACCAGTTTGATTCCCAGTCTCCACATGCTTGGGTTGTGCCCCAGGTCCCCAGTAGGGGGCGTGCAAGAGGCAACCACACATTGACGTTTCTCTCCCTCTCTTTCTCCCTCCCTTCCCCTCTGTCTAAAAATAAATAAATAAATAAAACCTTTAAAGAAAAGAAAAGTAACATGCCCTGGCAGGTGTGGCTCAGTGGATGGACCGCTGGCCTGCAAACCAAAGTGTCGCTGCCTCGATTTCTGCTCAGGGCACCAAACTTATTCTGCACTGATAAAAGTCTACTGCACTGAGCCATTGTAGAATGAGATCGTGAACATGAAATACTATTATCTCGCTGAACTTTATTCACAGGTCTTGGCACCCACCAAGAGTGGGTGCTATGTCAGTGATGTGTTCCACAGAGCAGGCTACAGGGACTCAGAGAGGGGCAGACATTTGCCCAAAGTCACACAGGACCAGGGTTTCTGCCCACCCAGGTCTGGATGAGGGTCCCTTTGTCTCCCTGTCCCTCCCCGCCTACCGGAGCTGGTCCTCTCCCATGCTGTCGATGTTCAGAGGCTTCTTACGCTCAGACAGGATGCGAACCTTCATCTCCCGCCCCGTCTGGCGCTTACCCCGCTTCTGCTCTGCCTGAACATTGGGAGGGGACATCTTCAGTTGGGGCACGAGTCCTCCAGAGGGCTCCCCAAGTCAGGACCCAGGGGTCTGCGATCCAGGCCACCATCTCTCCCAGGACCTCAGGCATCTAGACCCCATTCACTCCTCACTCAGACCCGGGATTCCAGGCCCCCAGCGCCTCCCCCCTCAGACCCAGGGGTCCAGGCCCCCGGCCCCTCCCGCCTCAGACCCAGGGGTCCAGGCCCCCAGCGCCTCCCCCCTCAGACCCAGGGGTCCAGGCCCCCCGCCCCCACCCTCAGAAACCAGAAGCCTGTGCGCTCAGTGACCTCCTCCCTGGAAACCTAGAGCTCAGGCCCCCGCCAACTGAACTCACCTTGACCAGGTAACCCCCATAATGGCCTCCCATGTTGGACAGAACCTTCTTCTTTTTGGCGTCATCCTCAGCCCGCTTCTTGGCCTCTTCCTCCTCCTTCCGCATTTTCTCCTCCTGTGTGGGGGGGAAAAGGCTAACCCCCAAGGCCGGCCCCCCACTGCAGGGGGCGCCAGAGATGGGGATGCGGAAGGGGGGTTCAGACCCAGTGACGAGAGAGAAGTACTATGGGACAGGCAAACATGCGGACACCCCCTGGCCCTTCCAGGCCGGGCTGTGTGACCACCTGCAAGCCCCTCCTCCTCTCTGGGCCTTCGTACTCCCCGCTCCGGCAGAATTTAAATGGGGGAGAGATGAGCTTGCTTGCCCTGCGCTCCTCCAGCATGAAGTAGCCAATGGGGGACTTGGCTGGGTGGCCTCAGCACAGACGCTCACCCTCTCTGGGCCTTTGTCTCCCTTCGTCTCGTGACACAAGAATGACTGTCCCCAGAGGGCCGAGGAGGGTGACGGGTGATAGCAGCGGGGGGCCGGGGGCACTAAGGGGGCTGGTGGCCTTGAGCCTAAGCGAGGGGTTCTAGAGTGTCTAGCAAAGGCGTTACCACGTCCAGAATGTGTGCCTTGCATATTGCAGACATCACGGCTTCTGCAGACCAAGACCCTCCCCACCAGAAGGCCCGCGAGGAGGGCTTGGTGGTTTTTGCATGTCCAGCCTTCCTCGCCTGAGTTCGTTTCTTCTGGCTGCTGTAGTTTAGACACTTAGGGGCTTAAAACAAAGCTAGTTCATCACGTGGTTACTGGCCTTATGGGGGGAGGGGGTCACTTCGTAAAGTATGTCAATGTCTAACCACTAGGCTGTAAGCCTGAAATGAATACAATAGAGACTGTCAACTGTAATGGGGGGGGATTATTTTTTAGCTTTTTAAAAAGATGTTTATTTATTTATTTAGTTTTAGAGAGACAGGACGGGAGGGAGGAAGAGAGGGAGAGAAACATCAATGTGTGGTTGCCTCTTGCACACCCCCGACTGGGGGTCTGTCCCACAACCCAGGCGTGTGTCCTGACTGGGGATCGAACTGGTGACCCTTTGGTTGGCAGGCCAGCGCTCAGTCCACTGAGCCACACCAGCCAGGGAGGGGAAAAAATTTTTTTTTAAACAATACAAATGTATTCTCTTACAGTCACGCAGGTCAGAACTCTGACACAGGTCTCTCTGGCTAGAACGGGGGTGGGACCTGGACTGGTTCCTTCTGGAGGCTCCGGCGAGGGCCCGTGTCCTCATGTCCTCCAGACCCTAGGGGCTGCCCGCTCCCCTTTGCTCTCGGCCCCTTCCTTCGTCTTCAAAGATCTCTGACCTTATTGACTCCCTCTCATGATTCGGAACCTGGTCGCCACACTGAGCCAACCTGGGTAATCCAAGACCTTCCTCGGCCTTCAGAGCCTTACCCACAGCTGCAAACGCCCCTTTGCTGTGTAAGGTACTGTAATCGCAGGCTCCAGGAACTAGGGCAGAAACATCTTGGGGAGACCCTTATACTTCCTACTACACCACCCTACTCCTGTTCCTTAAAAGTGGTTCCTTTCTTTCGCTAATTTTATTCAAAAGCAGTTCCTTTGATGCCACCATAGGTCATGTGTCCAAGGCCTAAAGCGGTGGACACATTCTAAACTCTCTCTCCCAACTAGGGATGGGCGAACAGTCCTAGCTTGCCTGGGACAGATGCGATGCAAGGATTTTAAGGCTCAGACCAGGAAAGTCCCAAGCAAACAGGAACGAGTTGGTCACCACAATGCCCCGAGAAAGATGGCCCAAGGGCCAGGAAGAGAAAAGCTGGGTCTTTGTAAGGTTATTTGAGTCCCTTGATCCAGCCATGCCTGAAGCAAGTCACAGCCTAGACTTTTGTTTTGGATGAACCAATAAAATGTTCTTTCTGCTGAATCCAGCTTGGGTTGCGGTTTCTATTCCTTTCAACTGAAAGATCCTTGAGTAACACAGCACGAGGACTTTTTCAGGATTACAGAGAATATCATGAATGGAAAATAGAGGAAGAAAGCACCCACCGCCAGCTTGGCCTGCCGCTCCCGCTCCTTCTCAGTTCTGAAGCGTTGCTGTTGAGCTCGCTCCGCCCGGCGCCGCTCCTGGAGGGCAGAGAAGAATGAGGGGCGCAAGGACGACCACCCACAAGGGCCCCTCCTCAGACGATGTCGAGAGCAAAAAATGCAGTTTTGAGTGTGGCCAGACTTAGGTCCATTTCCGAAAGTTTCAGCCTCGGGTCTGACCTGGACGGGAACTATTCTCTGTTATCCCCCAAGACCCAAAGGATGGCACGGGGCGAGGGAAGGATTTGGGGAGCCTCCCCCGCCCCCGACTCACAATGCGCTCTTTCAGTGCAATGAGCTCCTCTTCCTCCTTCTTGCGCTGCTCAAAATGCACGTCAATGAGCGTCTGCAGCTCCAAGAGGTCCTTTTCCTGGCGCTTCCGGTGGATGTCCTGCAGGACAGAAGGCAGGAGCCCGGTCATTCCCCGGGCAGGTCCTCCGAAGAGCTCAGGAGGGCAGCCCTTCCCCGCGAGAATCGGAGGGCTTGACAGTTCACTAAATTTCCAGCAGGTGGCAGCAAAGCACCGTGTTCGGACCCTGCTTGGCTTTTAGGACTTCAATCCTAAAGGAGGCCAAACAAGACCCACCTTTTCCTAATTGGCATGAAGGGACCCTAAGGGCCAGCAGCTGCTTGCTCCTGTGGGGGGGGGGGGTCTCTTACTTACATCAAAGTCCACGCGTTCCCCTTCCGGGATCTTTGGGGGGATCAGTGGGGCCATGGGGCGGCTGATGGACAGAAGAGAAAGACAGTGAGCAGTGCAAGGTCCCTGGCTGTCCCCGCCACGCTAACTAGCCAGGTGGCCACCAGCCACACGTGGTTCTGAACATCTGCCAAGTGCCTGGTTCCCATGGAGAGGGACTGCCAGTGAAACACACATCTGATTTCAAGAGCTTGGTACAAACACAATAATCTGAAACACCTCGCCCCAGCTGGTGTGGCTCAGTGCATTGAGCACCGGCCCGCGAACCGAGAGATGGTCGGATGGATTCCTAGTCGGGGCACATGCCTGGACTGCAAGCCAGGTTCTCGGTCGAGGGCGTGCAAGAGGCGACAGATCGACGTTTCTCACACACTGATGTTTCCCTCTTGTTCTCCCTCCCTTCCCCTCTCTCTAAAAAAATTAATAAATAAAAATATCTTGCGTTTTATGTTAATTACATGTTGAAAGGATGAAATTTCAGATATGAACAGATTGAACAAAATATGATATTAAGATTAGTTCTACGTGTTTTGTCTTCTTAAAATGCGGCGAGTAAAAAATTTACAGTTACACGCATTATATTTGTATTGGGCAGGGCTGCTGGGGTGGGGTGAGCCCTCTCTCCTCTTTCTTTGGCTCCTGAGACACCAGGCACCTCCTCCTAACTTGCTTCCTGCTCCTCTGGCTGTGCCATCCTTGTCTCTTTGTCCCCCAATGAGCCATTTTATTCATTCATAGGACATTCTCATGATCAGTGCCATTCACCCCGATAATTCAGCTTCAATTATCACCAGTTGCTGAGGGCTGGTCAACTCTGTCTGCAGCCCAGACTTCTAAGCTCTCGCCTCCTCACTCAACCACATGCCACATGTCATTGTTCCCTGGCCATGTCCTGTGCTCTTGTGCCCCAGGGCCTTTGCACATGCTGTTCCCTCTGCCAGCAATGCCCTTCCCCTGATACACTCGGTCCCTGAGGCCTTCCCTGCTCCACCGAGGTTCCCCTGACCCTGCGTCACACCTGTGCTCTCTCACCCAGATCTGCCCCGTGTATCCTTTGCTCAAAACCATGCCCTGGCTCCCTAGTGCCCTGGCCTTCTCGGCACCGCCTCCTCTTGTACCTGACACTCAAGCCACCTTGAAATTCCCACCACTGCCCACAAAAGCCCAGGGGCTTTCTGCTTCTAGGTGTCTTTCTCATGCTCAGGTTGCTGCCTCCTTGCATCTCCAAGCTTTGGCCCCAGTGTCAGCTCCTCCAGGACCCTCTCCTGGCCATGAGCTCCCCTTGCCCCCCCCCCCCCAGTTTAGGCTCCTCCTCATCGGAACGACCCGTGGCTGCATCTGCTCCCTGAAAGACTGGCCTAGATCAGCCACTGGGCCTTGCGCACACCACATGGCGTTCCTCATCTACAAGCTCCCTTCTACCTCCTTCAGCCAGACAGGCATCACCTCCCCTGAGAAACCTTCCCTGACTGCCGAGGGCAAACGCAGAGCACTGATCTGTGATACTCTAGTACCCTGGCTAGTATCATCACTGTATCTGGGTCTGTTTCACCAACAGGGCAGACGGGGTCTGACCCGCCAAACAGCATGGAAAGGTCTCTGGAAATGTTTGCTAAAAAAGGAATCACTGCCCTGGCCGGTGTGGCTCAGTGGATTGAGCACCAGCCTGCAAACCAAAGGGTCGCTGGTTCGATTTCCAGCAAGGACACACGCCTGGGTGTTGGGCCAGGTCCCCAGCCGCGAGAGTGCAAGAGACAACGAATCTACACTTCTCTTGTACATCGATATTTCTCTTCCTCTCTTTCTCCCTTTCTTCCCCCTCTCTAAAAATAAATAGATAGAATCTTTAAAACAAATAAAGACTAAAATTTAAAAAAGAAAAGAAAAGAAGGAATCGCTGTGTTTTCCTCTCTTTCAGTCTCCCCACTCTCTTCCTCTGCCTTCCTTGTGCCCCATCTCTGGTGGTGGGGGACATACTTGGGAGGGTGTGGTTTGGATCCCCTGTCCCCCTAGGGTCTCACCTTGGTTTGGGCCGTTCCTCTTCTGGTGGGAGGATACAAAGAGATAATTAGCCACAGTTCATGGCGGGGGCGGGGGGTGCTTAAGAGAAAACTCCCCAAGCCTTGGCTCCCAGGAGCCCAGTTCCCTCCTCCTGCCGCTCTAGGGGGTGGGGAAGGGCATGGGGGAAAGGCAGGAGAAGGGGAATCAGGGTGGCCGCATCAGATATACATTCAGAACTGGTGTGGGGACCTCCTCCCGCTTCTCCGCGAACCTAGAGGGCCAAACCCCAGACCCTCCCCCTTAGACATACCCCAACCTCTTCCATCAAGACCTAGAAGTGCAGGGGGCCCCAAGCCCTCTCTTCATTCGGAGATCCAGGGGTTCTGACCCCAGCCCACTCCCACCGGGGGACACAGGAATGCAGACTCCCAGTGCCAGCCCCTTCTGCACCCCAGGCCCCAACCTTTGAATGTATATGGAGGGAAAACAGTGACAGACAGGGTTGGGGGCAACAATGGGGGCGGGAGTGCCTCTCCGCAAACATGCAACCTTTCTATTCAGTACTTCAGGCTGGGAAGGAGGCTTGGGTGTCGGTCTCTTTAAGAAGGAAGGGAAAGGGTTAATGCCGCTGCCAGGCGATTTCCCTTCGTGGCCACCAGAGGGCGCACGAGTTCTCTAGGGCTTAAAAGACCGGGCCAGGAGTGGGGATCGCGGGGCGAGGGGGAGCTGGAGGGAGTCCCCGTGGAAGTCAGGGTGCAGAGGATATCGAGGTGGGGGAGCCCCGAAATCGTTCTCAGGAAGCGAAGCAGCCGCGGTTACCTCGCTCTGCCGCCGGCTCCGGCTCTTCGGGGGCCGGGGAGGGTTCTGGGGAGAAGCGCGGATTTGGGGAGAGGTGCGGGAGGGGGGAGCGGCCACGCCCGGGTGCGGGAGGGGAGAGAGGGAAGAGAGTGGAGAGGCTGTTAAAGGAAGGGAAAGCCAGGCCTTCGGGAGTCCCCGCCCCGGCCTTCCCCCCGCGGGCTGTGTTGTGCACTCCACGCGGCCCCCGCGTCCGGCTGCAGCCAGCGGAGTCCACGCTTCACCTTCCTCCTCCACCGCAGCCTCCTCCGCGGCAGCCTCCTCCGCGGCAGCCTCCTCTTCTGGAAGGGATCGGGGCAGAGAAACGAAGACCTTAGGAGCCCAGGGGCACGGGGGTGGGTGGGGGTGGGGTGCGGCAGAGACCGGGGTTCGAGTCTCAGCGGGGCCGAGGATCCCTACAGGCGCAGTGAGCTGTCCGCACCGGCTGGGTGGAGACTGCAATGGAAAACTCTCCAAAAACCCAGGGGGGCATGGGTGGGCGCGGGTCGGAGCGGGGTCCCTCCCCACCACGCGCCTCTCTGCACGGCCCCTCCCACGAGATCCGCGTGGGGTCCCCACTTCCCAAGGCCAGCGCACTCCCCACTCACCTTCGGGCTGCTCCCTGAGGACAGGGGTGCGAGAGAAAGGAGGAGGAGAGTTAGACTTGGGGGGGGGCTCCCCTTCTCCAGGCCCCCAGTCCTCCCTCCAGCGACACTCACTCCTCGCATTCCTGCTCTTCGGCGTCCGACATCGTGGTGGTGCGACCTGAGGGCCACAGAGAACAGGGGGAGTGGGGTGCAGTCCCCAAGGAGGAGGGGCTGGGGGCCCCGATCCCCAGGGTCTGAGGGAGGAGGGAGCCCCACTCCTAAGCCATGTGAGGACAGGCCTCGCGGAGGTGCGGTCCAGGCACAGCCCCAAAGCTAGGGCGTCTGCACCTCGCCCCGCCCCCCCATCCAGCTGTCCCCTTTTGTCTTATGACACGTCCATGGGAACCCGATCCTAGTCGGATCAGGAGAAGGTATGTGAGAAGGCACAGCGGCCTGAAGACAATAGCTGCCCCACCCCCAGGGGCTATTTCGGGGGGATGTCATGGACAGCAAAACAGAGGACATCTCCTAAAAAGGGACTCGGGGAGGGGGGGCTTCTGGGGGCCTTAGCCACACCTGTTCCCCTCTCCTGCCCCCAGATACCCACCCCCACCCCGGCTGGGTGTCTCCCCACCTGTCTCCTTTCACCTTCACCCACAGCCAGGAGGAGGCAGGCCCCCTCAAAAGCAGCGCCTGTCCACAGGCCCCATCCTCACCCCTAAATAGATCCCCAGTGCCTGACATGCCCCCAGGCCTCAAGATACCCTCCCCCGAATCCCGATACCCACAGACCCTGAGACCCCCAACTGAAGATGCACCAGTGAGTCCTCATGTCCAGATTCTGAGGCACCAGTTGAGACCCCAGGGCTTAACACCCCCTAAATTATGGACCCTCGAGATCGTGAGACCCCGAAATCAGATGCCCAGACTCAGAGTCCCACTCCGTGACACCCCAAATTAGGACACTACAACTTCTAAAACCTCGAATCACAAGACCATGGGTCCTGAGTCCTCAGGTCCCAGAATCCCCGATTTTGATCCCCAGCCCAAACTCCCAGACCATTGGAGCTCGACATTCGGGCGCCCCCCAATTTCTGAGATTCCCTGACTCTCAGACTTCTGAGGTCCTAAGTCTATATTCTGGGAACACCCCAATCCAGGCGTCCCCATTTTCAGTAGCCCCCGGATCCTCACAACCATACCCTGTCCACATCTGCACCTCTGCACACACCCCTCCTGTCTCCCTCCACCCCACCCACCCCACCCGGGCGATCACAGCCCTTACCTAGGGCTGGGCCTGCAGAGCTTGAACGTGCGGGGCAGCTGAGGCAGCCCCTCGTTTATAGTGCAGCTCGGCCCCGCCCTCGGGGGGAGAGGGAGGAGAGAATTCCTTTCCCCAAACACTAGTCCTGAGCGGCAGGCCCTGCCCCCACTCTGGCTCCGCCTTCATGATCCAGGCACCCCGGGCCGCTGCGACCCCTTCTCCACGCCATCAGCGCCTCCCAGGAGCCCCCACTGGGTCCAGCAACCCCCCTGCTCCTCGCCTCCCTTCAGCACATGGCACTCTGAGCTTTGAAGACTCTGGGCTTAGCACACAGAGGTCCTCGGATAGTGCTTATTGATGACAGGGGGACCAGAGGCGTTTTCTCTTTCCAAGGCTCTGGTCCCCCTTTCCGTGTCCCTCGGGGCGTCTGCCTCTCACACCGTTTCTCTGCGGTCTCTGCCGGTCTCCCCTTTGTCTCTGGGACTCTCCACTGTGTGTCTCCGCATGTGCCTCTCTCTGTCCATCTTCCCGTCGCTCCCTCCCCACCCCCACCCTTTGTCTGCCACCAGGATTCCACCCTGGTGACAACAGGCGCTAAAGCAAGGAAGCAGGTGTGTGTGGGGTGGGGGGAGGAAAGAGTGGGGTGCCAGGCCTTCACGACCTTACCCCCCCACACACACTTCCATCTGACACAGACCTTTTTTTGGTGTCGCCCTCCTTCCCTGCCAAACCATGACCTTGACCTCCGGGAGCCAGCCCGAGAGAGGAACTCCTCGCCCTTCTGTGCCTTCCGGTATCTCTCACTTGGTCTCCGTCTTTCACTATCTCCAATCTCTCTGTTTCTGTGTCTGTGCATTTCTCTGGGCTTCCCTGCGGGTCTCCGTTTTGGTCTCTCTCCGCACCTCTGTGTCTTGTGTTCTTCACTCGGGGCGTCTTTCCGCATATTCTTGCCTATGCGTTTCTACGGGTGTCCCTGCATATCTGCCTCTGTCCGCGCCTGTATCTTGGGGTCTCCCGTGTGTCTGTGACCCTGTGTCTGTCTCTCTACCTTTCTAGCTCTTTCTGGTTCTCGCTTGGTGTCTCTGCGGTTATCCCTCCGTGAGTCCTCATTTCTGTCTTCATTGTCATCTCTCTCTCGCTGCATGTATCTATCTCTCCAGTTCCACTTTCTTTGCACTTCTTTCCGTGAATCTGTCTTTTCCCCTCTCCCTCTGGGTCTTTGTGTGTCTCTCTCCCTGGATCTCTGACTCAGTCTCTGTCCGTGTCTCTTTGGGTCCCTGTCTCAGCATCTCTGTGCCCCCCACGTGAATAAGAGGAGCAGACAATGCCCGATATTGGAGACCCAGCTCTGCTCCTTATGTGCGGTGTGGCTGCGGGGACCCCGGCCCTCAATCCTCCCGCCTCTCACACCCACGCCCCCAGAGAGTAGACACGCGGCCACACCCAGCTCAGACAGCAGCTTTATTCCTCAAGGCGCAGGCCGGCCGGCTCAGCCCTCAAACTTTTTCTTGCGGCCCTCCATTCCACTCAGCGCGTCGATGTTCTTGCGCCAGTCTCCGACCTCCCGGTTTTCCTGGAGACATGGAGTCAGAGGTCGGAGTGTCTTTCCTCAAATATCTTTTCCCTGCCTTCCTGCCTGCTGGGCTGCTCTGTCCGGAATGTCTGCCCGAGGATCTGGCTCTGGAACACTTTTTGTCCTGGCAACTCTCTCAGCCACTTTGCCCCATGCACTTCCTGTATCCCTCCTGCACTTCCTGTCTCATTTCCCTCATGCACTTCCTGGCTCCATGCTACTTCCTTTCTCCGACAGCACTTCTAGTCTTCCCCTTCTACTTCCTGTCTTCCTGTTGTACTTCCTGTGCCCCTATCCAATACTTCGCTTTGAGGATTCCTCACCAGATTTTTCTCCCCCAAATTCCAAAAGTCACCTGCCCTGAGGCTAGGCCCTGAGAAAGTTGCCCCCACACCGTCTCCTCTAAGCACCCCCTTTCCTGGCCCAGCCACACTTACCTTCTCCGTGTCCTCCTTCTTCACCTGCTTGAGGTGGGCCCGCAGGTCCAAGGTCTCCTTGGCCCTGGTCCCCAGCAGTGCCTGCATCATGGCGTCTGCGGAGATGCGCACCCTCCGCAGTGTGGGCCGCTTGAACTTGCCCCGGAGGTCAAAGATCTTCTGGGTCAGATCTGCGATCTGGGGAGGGGGTGGGGCATAAGGGGAGGTGGGGTCCTCGCCCTCCACCTCCCTCACCCCACTCTTCCACCCTCCACAGCCCTCCTGTCCCTCCCCAGTTCCCATCCAGGCTTGTCCACGCTGAGGCTCCCACTGCCTTTGGGACAAAACCCAAGCTCCTCACCCCGGGCTGGAAACCCTTCTCGGCCTGCCCCAGCCTCATCTCTCCGAAAGCCACTGACACAGCCCCGTCCAGCTTCCAGCATCTCACCGTTCTCTGTCCCTGCCTGAACTCCTTTACCAACACTTGACGCTCCGGCCACATCTTGTCACAGACATGTGTCCTGCTGTCCCACCTCCCTCTGCCTGGAACAGCCTTGTCAGGCCATAATGGAGCCATCCTTCTGCCCGCTCCCTGACAGATTCACGGAGTGGACCTGGGTCCCCTGGTATCTTCAACCAGAAGCAGCTGCAAGGGGCCAGGCTGAGACCACAGCCCCAGGCACTGCCCCCCACCCTGAAGGGGCCCAGAATGCCCCTTGCCTCCCACCTCTGTAATGTTCTTGGTGACTTTTGCCTCCACGTCGTATCTCTCCTCGTCCACCTTGTCGATGCGGGCATGGAGCTGTCGGCACAAGTCCTGGTAAAGAAACGTGGCACGTGGGGTAGGGAAAGACTGGGGACCGGACCCAGGGTCCGAGGGAGAGGGGCAGGGGCTGGGGACCCGGATATCTGGTCCTGAAGTGGCCTGCAGCCAGACTCGGGGGGACTGCAAACAAAGCAGAACGCCAGAGCCAGGAATCCTGAGAATCTGCAGACGTAGAAATGAAGAAACCCAGCTCCGGGCGTGGGAACTGCAAGCACCTTGCAGGCCATATTTCTGAACTCAGAAGGGTAAACATTGGGAGGTTGGACCCCAAAGTCCTGAGCAGAAGTGGAAGGACAGTGACTGTACCTGAGACCCCAGGATGCAAGACCAGACCTAGGAACCCAGGACCCCGGCCTGGCCAGGAGACCCCTCTTAGAGCTGGTACCTGGAGCTCCTCGAAGCCCAGCCCAGCCAACTCCAAGGGCTGGCACCGCGTGCTCAGAGCGCGCCCCTTCTCTCCGCGCCGCTCCTCTGCCTCCCGCTCCAGCTCCTGCTTCGCTATCTGCAGCATCAGGGTCTGCGGAGGGGAGGCCGGCCCGCAGCCCACGTTGGCCCACGACGACCTGATAGGAGGCTGCCCCTGCCTCCTCCGGGCTGCCTCCTACTCCCAGGCATGCTCTCCGGTCTTCCAGAGTCCCGTCCCCTCAAGGCCCACCATCCCAAGGCCCGGCCCTGCCATTGAGGGCCCCCCCCCCCCGCAGCCCCGGCAAAGCCACGCCACCAAAACCAACAGTCCAAGTCTCGCCCCCTCGCACAACCGAAGCCTCATCCCTACTTTCAAGCTCCGCCCCCGCAAGGACAGCTAGGCTCCCTCTCCAGGCTCGTCCTCACCTTCAGCTGCAGTTTTCTCGAGGCAGAGATCTTAGACTTTTTCTGCCGGCCAGAGATGGAGAGAGAAAGAAACGGGGTGGGGGGGGAATCCAAATGTGGGTAGTGGGAGGGGCTTCAGAGCACGCGCCCCTTAGACCTGGTCCAGAGTGAGCCGCCTCCGATTCCACGGGAGGCCACGCCCCTCAGCCCCATCCACCAATCTGGGCCCCTGACTCTGACTAGGCACCGCCCACCACCTCCTAAGCAATCGCAGTTGCCCTGAGCGAGGAAACCCCTCGTGGAGGCAGTTCTCGAGAATCCGAGCGGGCCCGAGAGCGAAACTCCGCCCCTTAAGTTCACTTCTCTGCTTGGACCCCGCCCATAACCAAACCCCGCCTCTATTAAGGCTACGGCTCCGCCCCTTTTCCCCCCAGACGCGGGGTAACCTCCCAGGGCTCTGAATCCAGGCCCCGCCCCGGCCCCGCCCACAGCGCTGGCTCCACCCTCACCTTGGCATGAGGCTCGGTGGCATAAGCACGGTAGTTTGCGGAGGAGCGGCGTCGAACCGGGGCTGGGCGCGGTTCCCCCTGGGGTCGGGGAGCGGGGCCGCGTCACCGCCGGGGCCCTCAGCCCCTGTCCATGCCTTCTCCTAGGGCTGCAGCCTCCCGCCCCGGAGCCCTCCCTGCAGCGCCGCCCCCCGCCCCGCGGACTGCCCCACGCCTGCTCTCACCGCATCGCCGCTCCTGGAGGGAGAGAAACCAGGGAAGGAGGTTAATGCTAGGCCTGTGGCCCACTCAGTCCGCCTCCAAAGGGACCCCAGAAGCCCCTCTGACCACGAGCTCCCGCCACCAGCTTCCCCATCTGGGGTCCTTGGAGTCGGATTCCAAACCCTTGCCCCTGTTCTGACACCCAGGAGTCCTGTCCCACCTCCTTTCTCAGGAAGGGGGTCCGGCCTCTCAACGCCCACCCCTCCAAGAAATCCCCCCACTGCCCACTGTTTCGGGCCCCAGGAGACCCGGTTCCCAGCCTCACTCACTCATCTGCCATGTGGAGACTGCGACCGGGAGGAGGCAGAGAAGGGACAAGAAACTCTCGGAGAGTCAAGGAGGGGTCGCCCGTCTGGGGTGACCTTGAAAGCCCCAGGGACTTCGCCTTGCTCCCGGCTGCTGAAGCCTCACGGAGGACACTGATAAAAGACAAGGGCATGGACTAAATATACTGCTGCCCCCTCCTTCCCCTGCCCAGGATGCGAGATAATGGGGCGCGTGAGGGGTGGGGCGGGCGGTGCTCCAGCTGGATCTGGCCCCTTCACTCTGACCTAGGAGTCCAGGCCTGCCGCCGCTCGGCCCTCGGACCCAGGAGTCCTGTCCCCAGCCCCTCCTCCCTCCGACCTGAGTCTTGGCCCCATTCCCACACTAAACGGCAATCTCCATGAGAGTTGGAGCTTTGTCTGTGTTTTTCATCGTCTTATGGTGGGTTTCAGTACCCCAAACCACTTATCCACTCAGTACATTTTGTTGATTTATTTGAAGATCCAGGTGTGTGGCGTTCAGGCACCCAGGCAACATCACTGGCAAATCCACTCCTAGTCCACTTGGAAAACCAGAAGTCTGGTCTTGGCTCTCCTCTCTTGACCTCTCCCGGCCCCTCCCCACTCCTGGCCTTGGAGACAGACAGGGAGGACAGGACACAAGGACACATAGAGGAGAAGACACCTCTTTCTTTATTTGGACCACAGGGGCACTGCCCAGCCCCGGGAGAGGGGACAACCCCAACAGCCATTGAGGAACGGGACACCCGGGGACCAGCCAGAGGACCTGAGACCTGGGCCGGATCTCTAGCCTACGTTTAGAGTCTTGGGAGTGGAGTGTAGAAATCTGAGAAAAACGACCTAGAATTCGAGGGACAAAATATAGAATCTCAGAAATGGGATCTAAAATTTGAGTAACGTCTCTGGGGCTGAGTGAGAATGCGGAGGGTGTAAACCAAGTGTCCTAGAGGCGGGTTCTAATTCCCGGACCTGGCTTTAGAGGTTAGAGATGGGGGACGTGGTCTCTGAAGGTCCAGCCGGACTCTCAGGTTTGAGGGTCTGATTCCCTGTGGGCAGAGCCGAAGCCTCCAGAGAAGCCTGAGATTCTGAGGGCGGTTTGAGGCGTTCGGAGAGCGGGGTTTGACCTTGGAGGGGCTGGGTCAGGTCCTCAGAGGGAGGATTTGTTGCCTCAAGGGAGGGGACCAAGAACTCCGGGGGCGGGGCTGTGACTTGAGGGGGCAGAAGCCTGGAATCCGCTGATGGGTCTACGGGAGCAGAGTCCTCAGACTTGGAGAAGCGCGCGAAGCTCTCCGAGGGCTTGGCTCCGGGCTGCGGGGCGAATCCAGCTGCCCGAGCCAGTTCCCCAACCCGGTCAGAGAACCCCTGAAGCTGCTCCTGCCTCACGTCCACAAGGTACCTGAAATCCAGAAGCGACGTGTTAGGGGACCCGGCTTCCCGTCCCCAGCCCAGTTCCCTGCCCTGCGCTGCGCTGGCTCACCGGGCTAATTCCACAATCAGGCGCCCCCCCGGGGCCACACAAGCCCCGAGCTCAGGACTGAGAAGGTGAACCATCCTGCAGAGAGAAAACGGAGGACGAAGGCTCAGACTTTCAGGCCTTGATGGAGGAGGAGCTGGGGACCGAAACGCCATCTGAGGAAGGGCTGGAGGCCTGGACTCCTGGGTCTGAGGGAGAAAGGGGTTTGAGGAAGGGAAGCCCGGGACACCCCAGGACCTCTTACCCGCAGGCCACGTAGAGAAGCTGGAACCGACCCTGGTAGCAGCTCTTGTGATGGAGTGTCTGGGCAGAACCGAGGGGCAGGAAGTGAACAGCGAAGGGCTCCGGGCTGGGAGCTGCTGGGGAAGCCCAGTGCAGTTAGGCCAACGCGCGAAGCTTGTAGATACCACTGCTTGGCCCCTGAAGCCCTTTCTCATCCTTTCTCTTAGGAGGATTCCTGAGAAATTCTGGGATGGTTGCCCCAGTTAGCAGAAACCCACTTTACAGGCCGGGCAACTGAGACTCAAGAGAGGGAGAGGAAGTGGCCTGTGGCCAGACAGGGCGTCCAGACACAGGGGAGGGCCAGGTTTGGGGACGGTTAGAAAGAGACATGACCAGACTTGGGAAGAGGGATGTCTTTCCAAAAGAGTCCTGGGCCCTGGCTGGTGTGGCTGATTGGATTGAGCGCCGGCCTGTGAACCAAAAGGTCACTGGTTCGATTCCCATTCGGGGCACATGCCTAGGTTGTGGGCCAGGTCCTAGCTGGGGGCGCTCGAGAGGCAACTACACGTAAAAGAGAAGGGACCGGGGACCCAGCAAGGTGTTAGAATGCTTTTAGCTTCTTTGCCATCTGCACGTAGGGCCAGAATTCTACCATGGGAATTAAGAATGCTAAGAATAGTGTCAGGGCTTCGGAAAGGGAGAGAGAGAGGAGAGGAAAAGGGACCAACTGTCAGAAAGGTCTCTCACTCGTCCAGGCAATTGGGAACCAAGACAGTCCACGCTGGTACTTGAAACGCGTGGAACCTGAAGCCCGGGCCGGGGTCTGGGTCCCACTAGCCCCAGGAGATGATGTGTCCATTATATTACCCGAGCACGGCCTCCATCGCAATGGGGGAGAGCTGAGTCCTCGCCTACCAGACTCCCGAGTTCCCTTTGCATCGCCTGGAACTTCCTCGGAGTCTCCTTGGGCGGCGCTCGGGCGCCCCCAGGCGGCCATCGCTTGGAACAGCTCCGTCACATTGTGCAGCGTGATTTCGCCCGCAGTCTGAGGAGGGGTGTGGCCGGAGTCTGGGTTTAAACCCTGGTAGCGGTGCTCGTAGTACGTCACTTTTACCGCCCCCCCTGATCCCCAGAGCTTGCATCTGAGGGACGAGCTTGGATTCCCGTGACAGGGTTTAGGAAGTAGAGAGGGGTGGAGCCTAGCCACTGGAGGCAGACCCCGGGAGTTTGTGGGCGGGGCCTCGAGTGCAGGGGGCGGGGCTTTGTGAACCCTGCCTCGAGCTGCACACCTTGACTGGCTGCCCATTGCTGGTCCGCAGGAGGCTCTCGTCGTCCGTTTCAATGCCGAAGGCTACAAAGGGCCCCGTGGCGATGTCCCCCCAGTACCCTCGGGCTGCCACGCGCTCCCCATGCTAGAAAAGCAAGGAGAGAGGACGTGGGTGAGGTGGACGTTGGGGACCTGAGCTCCTGTGTTCCCCCCCCCCCCAAAGAAGGAGGTGGTCAGGACAGGGGATGGACACGCACGTGGCTCAGAAGGCGACCGGACGCCAGAGTCCTGTTGGGCACCTGGTAGGCGCTGGAGTCTCTGAGTTCAAAGGCGACGCCTGTGTCCCTCCAGCGCCTGAACTCGTGGGTGTGGATGACTCGGGCCTGGGGAGGGGGTGAGAAGAAGAGAGGCTCAGTGATTCCGGCACATAGGCCCTTGGCACTTCCTCCTTCACACTCGCGACTGGGGGCCCCAGCCCGCTCACCCCGCGGTCATGAAGTTTCATGTGAAGGTCCCAGTCGCTGACACCGCGCCGGGCGTCGTAGCGGGAGCCCAGGTAGTGGCGTAGCCTCATGTCCCACAGGCGGCTCATGGGGAAGGTCTCGGGCCCCTTCTCCCCGCCAGCCCAGAAGCGGAACACGGCTTCCAGAGCGTCGCGCTCACGGAACTGCGCATCCAGGCACGCGTGGGGAGAAAGCGAGGGAGAGCGGCTGCAGGGAGAGCAGCCTTTCCTGCTTGACCCTCCCTTCCATTCCAGGTGTGAGCACGATTCTCCCGATTCTCAACTGAAGAAGGTGAGGCTCAGAGAGTAGAAGCCACCCCCTAGGCCAAATCCCACACTAGGAGCTGGGGCTCAAACTCCTGCGTCCCCAGCCCACTCCATCAATGCAAACCCTTTTGGGCTGCCCGTCTCCATTCTTCTTGTGGCCACCCAGATCCCAGGCGGTGACAGACGGAGCCCGGGAGGAGGCACCTTCAGGGCGCTCAGGCTGAGCCAGGGCAGTTGCTCCGCCAGGCGGTCGGGTTCAGGAACCAGGTGCGCTAGGCGCTCGGCCTGGGCGCGCACGAAGGCGGCCACTGGGGGGCGCAGCAGCGCGTTCCCCCACACTTCCAGGAAGGCCTCGCTCCTCTCTGTGGGGCGGGAAGAAAAGTAGTCAAAGTAGTCGGGGAAGCAGAGGAGTGAGCCCAGAAATGAGACCAGTGTCTCATACCGTTTATAGACTGACGCACTCTATATTACACATACTTTTTTTAAAAGAGATTTTATTTATTTATTTTTAGAGAGAGAGGGGAAGGGAAGGAGAAGGAGAGGTAGAAAAACATCAATGTGTGGTTGCCTCTTGTGCACCCTCTACCGGGGGCCTGGCCTGCAACCCAGGCATGTGGGAATTGAACCGGCGACCCTTTGATTCGCAAGCAGGTACCCAATCCATTGAGCCACACCAACTGCAGCCATATTATACATACTTTCTTTATAGAGTCTTATCATTAGTCATAACAAGCACAATGGACCCGGCAAACTCTCCACTCACCCCAACAACTAGAATGTGAAGAATAACTTATACCTCACCTAGGTCTCCTCACTTACCCCTTTCCCCCTCCCAGGTAGCCCCAATCCTGAATTTCACGTTTACATTCCCCTTGCCTTAAAAGAAAGTCATAGATAAGAATGGAAATGCATACAAGTTACAAGGCAATAGTAAAAATTGTTTTATTTTAGTTAGGGTTCTTATAAGAGAAAACTATATTTTTAGTTGTATACACATGTATCTATATCAATATGTGTCTATAAATGGTTTCATCTTATTTAAGAACCTTATAAAAGACAACTCTGTATCTTCAGTTAGATATAGATATGGTTAGTTTAGTTCTAGTTGGTGAAGAGCTCTATACAGAGTGCACTGTAAATTGTGTGCAATACACACAATGAATGTCTTGGGCTGTTAATGACAGCCACCATCCCTAATAATGATAACAATAATTGCTAAGACATACCGAGTATATATCAGAAGCCGAGAGCTATGCATTTTTGT